GTACAATGCAGCAGTACGTTCGACCCTATTGTACGGTTGTGAAACCTGGCCGCTTAAAGTAGCGGACCTGAAGAGGCTAGTTACGTTCGACGCCTTGTTTATGGCACAGGAAAAGGTACTGAACCGCTCAGCACCGTTATTTCACGCATCAGGCTCCGATGGCTCGGCCACGTGTTACGCATGCCAGTCCACCGACTCCCGCGACGTGCGTTGTTTGCTCACCGGGGATGTGGGTGGAAGAAGAGGAGAGGTGGCCAAGCGATGACTTGGTCCAGAGGAATGAAGACCCTCACTTCGAAGCTGGCCTCGGTTGGAGCGTCTCGGCTCCCTGGTTGGGGTCAGAAAGACGATGAACACGTTTGGTTGGACACACTTGCTGATATGGCTAGGAGCCGACCTCAGTGGCGTTCGTGCTGTGAGTTTCTTTGTCCCACCCCATCCCTCTTAGCCTCCTCCTCCAACCACGATCTCATTACTTAGCCTTATATAATTTTGCATAATAATTTTTTTTTGGGTGCACAGCAGCCGGCTGGTAGCTTACCGGAACGATGCCCATCCGTTACCGGTAGCTCAGCCAGCTTTTACCAGTTGTTTTTCTCTCTCCTTTTTTCTTTGTATTGCGGCACAGTAGCTGAGGTGTTTCCCACCTCTAGCTAACGTGTATGATGATGATGATGATGCCCCTTGCTTCATCCTGGCGAAGCATTGTATTCCAGCAACTTTGTGCTGTAATTCTGGGGAGCATTGGGCCCCTGTTTGACAAAGGAACAAACGAAAGGGGTATGAACTGAGCAATCAGTCACCGGCTCTCAATGGGCGCGATTTCCTGAATTCGCTCCGTTGCCTTGCGGGCAAGCTATTCAGCCAAATGCTCGATTTGGTGTCGCCTAAGTCAACACCTTACTTCGGCTTGGGCAACCGGGTAGTATCTCGCCCTCTGACGAAACCATGGAATTTAATGCATTGTGTTGTGTTTTCTGTTACTACTTCTGTACCTTCGTTTGTGTTCCATGGTTTCTGATGGCTCTATGTCTATTCATAGACTGTGGCAACTATATACATATATATATATATATATATATATATATATATATATATATATATATATATATATATATATATATATCAGAGCCCCATGCTGAGGCTGATGTTGCATTCTTGATGCTTCTTCACCACAGTTGGGCTAAACCAACTTACACTTAAACTAGGTCTTTTTAAGCTGGATAAATTTCATTCCGCTTTATTTGGTTTGTTCTGCCTCCCTGAATAATGTTCTAGTAACTGGCCACGTTGCTTACACTAATTGCGCTTATCTTCGGTAATTTTGTTGCGTTTGTAGCATTTTAAGTAACTTGTGGACATTTCTTACTTACCACGGATTTGTTGCTAACCAAATTACTTCATATGGTAATTTAGCGAAGAGTTATGCCACCGTATCTGTATGCATTATTGGATTTATTTAATTTCAGCTTGTCGTTTAAAGTGAATGGCTGTTGTTTGATATCCCTGGTATGGTTGCGCTTGATGTGTATGTTGACAAGGTGCCTACCTGTCTATTACCCACTACATCGTTCATACTGACTCCAGGAGACAGTTGGTCGTTGCTGGAGGGGACGGGGTGCACGGTTCTTGTGGCCGTGCTAGGCTCAAAGAGCGGTTCCATGCACTCAGTGTGGAGCGGACTACGGTCCAGCCACCGCCTAGTATGCGCTTGATTCCCAAATATAGTGTGCTTGTGTTTGCCTGTGAAGGAGTGTGGGCCGGCTCCGTTGATGAAACGTGGTTCCCATCCGCATGCCTCCCGGTCTTATTCCTTCGGGTTTACACTGGATATGGGGTATGTGGTTGGAGCTGTGGGTGGTGCAGCGCAAGCCATCCATGGTCCCTCTGTAGGCGCAGGCGTCCTGTGTCTGGCCACAGTGACAGGCAAATCCGAAACCGGATGCCGCCAACCATATATATATATATATATATATATATATATATATATATATATATATATATATATATATATATATATATATATATATATATATATATGGTATGATACAGTGAACATGACGGGATAATCAGACATACAGTATGTTAGAGGATCGATGTAAAGTTTATATGGACATCTTGTAACTCTGCAGAAAGTAAATTATATTCCGCAACACCATACGAGATTTGGCTATACATTATACAAGCGCTCTCAATTCGAGGGAGCAGATCGAATTCATAGCAACCAAAGTACGCCAAACAGTGAGGCTAATCTTCAAATCACTTATACTGCGTGAGGCCAAGGTTCACATGTTTAAGATCTGCGTGCACCCTCTCCGCTGAAATACTGTCCGATGATATTTACCAGTTGTACGCTACGGAAAATGAAGCTTCACGTGAAGTTTCTGTTCAAGGTAGTGCACAAACGTGTATTTGCCCTGCACAATAGTATGAACTTCGATCAGAGTGGAAGAGAGGACACTAAGAAAAATAAGGACTCGACTTCTGCATGTGTAACAAAAACAAACGCATGGAAGTTTACTTGACTAAGTACTCTGATATCTGGGACAGGCTACCTACTGAATTGTGACTGTGAACCCAAATAATCCATTGGAAAATTTCTGGGTAAGTACCTCAGTGTGTTGCAAATCAAAACGGATGACACTGGACTGCAGAATGGAAGCGATGTATGAAGAAGGGGTATTGGTGCACCTTGACAACATCGCATGAGCATGTGCCCAAACTGTCTGAATAGTATCCTTTTTCGTTTCGTTAAACTCTTCAGCATTTGCCCATTCCATGATCACGTTTTCTTTCGTTCCCCTATGTCAACCTAACAGTTCCCTTTAGATTTGTTGTACACTGCTAACAGTTTTCTTTTCTACATGAGGAAACAATTCGAGTAGCCGTAGCAGTTCTCAGTGTGCCGCAAAGTCAATTTTTTATATCAATAACTTTACAATTCAACTACCATGAGTCGTTAGATATATCATAAAATCATTCAGTTGCTTTTTATTTCTTCTGTGACCCCTTTGTACAAACTGAAAGATTATCCGTCGGACATATGCCACTCATTTATCGATTTGTTTCCTTCCACTGTGGGCCAAAAATTGGGCCAATCACCTGGGGTGGCGCAGTGAAGCTTCTAAAGTTATCAATACATCGAACAGAGGTGAATTGGTACAGGCCTCACGGCGAGTAAAAAATGCCCACGCAAAGCGAATTGACACAGACTTAGCGAGTAAAAAGGTGTCGAGCTCGAAAGGGTTGGATGTTATAATGGGGCGAATGGCTTAAAAGAGAAAACAAAGAAAAACCAGCTTTTCTCTCTACACATAATAACGGCCCAGAAGATGAGCTTACTTGATCTTATGCCACACCGGAACAAGGCCAAATGGGGCGTGGATGTGCGGATGAAGCCTTTCCGCATGGAAGCAGGTCTCTAGGAGACGGTTCCACGGACAGCCGTATTACTACACTTGAACTTTTTTAAACAACCATTTTCATCTTATTGTCAGCTTCCCCATTTTTCCAACATTTTTACCTGATCGAACACCCCGAAACCTTATCTGAGAACTGCGTTGAAAAATAGCTATCCTTTGCGATCCAGTTGTATCAAAAGATCAGACCACCCAGTTGGACTGCACCTCGCACAGTATAAAAGTATACAATTTATTAGTATCGTGTTTTGTTACATAGTCGTCAATTCAACAGTCCGGTTCAGTTAAGTAATATCGACTTGAATTGTCCAGCACTTACCTCTCATAAGTGGACTGAGTGAAAGCGGCACAGAGACAAACACGGATGGAGGAGTAGGGGAGCGTGAGTGTCTTGATGCAAACGCGACGGATACTCGGGGAGGACTATCGATGAAATCCGGTAGCTGGCCGACAGAGCAGACGGGAGTGGCAACCACGGGGGGTACGGGCGATGCTGTGTCTGATGACCGAAGAGATGTGCAAAATAAAATTAACGAATGACCAACTGCAGGAGATGTGAAAGGGAGTCAAACAAGTGTAGAGGATAAGAAAATTACCTAACAAAAGAAACAAGCTGTAATAACAGGTAGTGAATATGTGGGAGCAGTGTAACCCACTGCGATGTGCTAAGTGCGACTTGATGCGAAACAAGCATCATAATAACCGACTTTATGGAGTTAGTTCCCGTATTAATCTGAAAGTGCAGAACTAACAGATAAACAAACAGTTCTCTTTCCGTCATATGCAAGCCATTAATTGTATTATGAAAGCATTTTGCTGTCAAGTTGTACTTTAAATAGCTATCTTGTGTTCGGACTGCAACAACAACCTTAGTTTCTACCAAACTAAAATGAAGTAAAGATTGATGATTTCCAACACTGTAACTGCAGGGAGAGTGTAATATTGAAAATTTATCAACCTGCATGTATGTTTCAGAGGGTGAGCAAAAACATGCTCAAAAAAGACGAGTGACGGAATTGCCACGTTTGAGTCTGAGACTGATAGGTGATTTTAAGCGGAGTTTGATTCAATCGATTGGTGAACCTGAGGAAGGGAAAATTTATGCAGTTCATATGAGAACATTCAGGCAACCTGAGGACAATAACTGCCTATCTAGAGGAGGATGTTCCACGTGAAGACCGAGCGAGGAAAAAGCATAGACGAACAGCACCCTCCATTTAACAATGAAAAATTGGTATACAGCGCCAGAATTACCTGTAGTTAGTGGTGCTCCGCAATTTTGCTCACTGGGATCCGTAATAGATTCCGTTTCAAGAGACGTGGTAGCGTGTTGTTCTATTGATGAAGCGTCCATCTGAAAATGTATATGAGCCAGTGATGTGATGAGTAGAGTTTGAGCATACATTTGAGTGCACGCAAGCAAGTCACTCAAAAGAGGTAATGGAACTATGCGGGAACGTAATCGCATGATGATTCGAGTGCACAGCGGATACAGGTATTGTAGGATGACATGTGGTCGCGAAACCCAGAATACTGAATGTAGAAATCGTGACGTGGAGCTGCTCTCCACATTCGGTTTCGCCCATGTTTTGCATCTTGGGACTGTAATAATGTTCTGATTTTAGATCGGCTGAATTGGTAGTTTAGGCTTATTTCCTAACGCACGAATAATGGCGAGCGCTCATTACATCTGTGCATCTTTGTCTCTTAATAGCCCCGACACGAAAGGTCAGGGAGTACCGATGGGCAACTTTGTGTTCTCCGGTAGCTGAGCAACTATGGACCCTTAATTTTCAGCTAGCGTAGTGGTTCCATCCTTAAATGCCGCTTGCTTTGGAACACGTGTGTCGCCCCTGATCATGTTCCCTAATATGCTGTCGATTCTCAGATAACGCCAAGAAGCGAATCAAGTGATTTTGTCGATTAGCAAGTGGAGGCCTTGCCAACCCCCATTGAGGCAGACATACTGACACTCTGCTTGTCAAGCCTTCACTCTATTGTTCTGGGGACGTTACGTCTTAATTTCTTCTCGATGCATGAAACATGAGCTGTTTGTGATAAGATCAGACGTCATCTCACAACACGCTGGAGGTCAGGGATGTCAGTGAACCTGCTCAGATCCAAGCGCTGAGAGCAATGCGACTAGATTGTATATATTAGGCGCGAGTTACAACGGAGCGTGTGAACCGACAGATTGACTCAGTGGGCTCAACTAATAGAGGAGGCAGAAGCAGCAAGTAATACGGTTGATTCGCACAATCCGGATAGCACAAGAAGTTTAATTCACAATAGTAAACGCCGTCTGGTTCATTCGGTGCTGCCCAAGCTCTTCCTCCTCAGATGTTGCGATCTGAAACCATTCGAAGGTTAGAGCTCAAAAGTAAATTACTTATCACTTTGTTGCTGCGTCATCGGTCAAGACTCTCGCGCCCACACAATTTAATTATGGCGATGAGGTCCTCTGTAAAGCTTTGACCCCCCAGATTGATCATAGTGGCGATGTCCAAAAAGGCTGCTAAAAATTCGTAATGACTATAGGAGTACCAGTGTAACGCCGGTGGTGAAAACGTACCACAGAACGGGAATGCCGAGTGGGGAAAGACCCGGATTTCGTCCGGGACCAGGTAGTCTAGACAAACTTCATGCTGTCTTAGGTAACAGAGCAACGTCACAAATACAACGGGTCGACGATAGCTGTGTTCTTCGATCGCGGGATTGCATTCAGCTCAGCTGCTTGGTCCATTCTGTTCAGCATATTTCCTCAGAAGAATAGCTCCATGAACATTTTGTATACCCTATGCTAGAACAATAAGAATCCCATCTGAGCCTATGGCGAATTATCGGACGCATTTTCAACAAGTGGTATTCGCCACTTTTAATTCAATTTTGTGGTGGACTCTCTCTGGTGGACTCGCTGAGTTTCACGATGCCGGGATTTGCTGTACTGTCGCGGGGGTAAAGGTGGTTGATCACAATACTGTCGACGATATCGCCTTGCTGTGTTGAGGGGTACCATCCTTCGGTTTGCGTGTCGCACCTCCAAAGTACAAAGCGTTGTGGCAGGACCACGAGTAACTTGACGATTCCTTGATGACGAGACGCTGAAGGGAGTTAATCAAGTAATTCAGCATGGCAGCCGCATTAGCAGTGATGGGCGCGTGACTGTTGAAATTAGCTCATGAACTACGAAAACCAGAAATGAATTTTCGAAAGTGCAATGTCTGTTGCCAGATGGCGAATACTCTTTAGTTGAAAGCTTGTGTATACAGGACAGCATTGAGGAGTGCTCTCCTCTACGGGAATCAGATTTGGCCCTTCCAGTCTGAGAATCTAAAGTAACTTCAAGTCCTCGAGCATCGTTGCCTTTTGAGCATTTCTGATGACCGATGGTACCAGACTATTCAAAACGATGGTGTGTGGCAGGGGTGATCAAGATGATTTAAAAGAACAGCAAAGCACAGTGAACAAGTTGGCTTGAACCGAGTAACCACTTGTCATGAATAGTCTTGTATTGCTTGATGGATGTTAAATGTTGCAAGGATCGAGGTGCGCAGTTGACAACGGTAGTGGTAAATGGAGCCACTGACTATTAAAGTAAGCAACGTTGGTTGATCTCACCCCAGGTGACGCGCCCTGCGCTTGGTTCGACTTTATAGGACGTAGTTCACAGCCCGCCCCAGTGAACCACTTGCGGTGTCTGATGCGGGGTGGTATCGATGACGACGCAGATTGATGAACGCTGTCTGGATGCTGTTTTACCAATGCCAACTTATCCCCGCACGATAGCCAGATGTCTTTAACTGTGAATCGTCGACATGATGAAGGTATCATTCTGTTTGTGGCGTTTAAAGTTTACACACCTCATTCTTTGTTAATAACCTATTACTAAGGTCGAGTGGTCTACCCCCACAGATTCTCCCTCTTCCAAAGGAAATCGAGCGGGAGCTCCGGCACATGAAGCGTTATAAAGCCCTGGCCTTGATGGTCTTCCTCCGGCTCTATTTAAAGATGGTGGTGCATCGCTGGTCCGAGAACTCACCGCTTTGTTCTCGAAAATTTGGTCGGAAGAGAAAGTTCCGTCATCTTGGAGTGAATCGATAGCCGTCCCCATCTTCAAAAAAGGCCTGCGCACAATCGGCTCCAACTACAGAGGAATAAGTTTGGTCCCCGTCGTTTGCAAGCTGCTGGTGTCCATCATACTTCGCAGGCTATTCCCAACACGCGAATCATTGCAACGAGAAGAATAAGATGGGTTTCGCCCTGGTCGCGGCTGCATCGATCAAATCTTCACACTTCGCCAGATCCTCGAGCTCCGCCATGTGTGTCAGAGGCCAACGATTGTTGTGTTCCTGGATATCCATGCAGCCTTCGATTCTGTCTATCGTACAGTACTGTGGCACTGCCTACTGAGGAATGGTGTCCCCAAGAAGTTCGTCTTCATACTGCGCGCTCTATATAGTCGGACCTCGGGCAGGGTTAGGGCTTATGGCAAGCTTTCGCCTACCTTTGTGGTCTCCAGTGGAGTTCACCAAGGATGCCCTATCTCTCCGTTCCTATTCCACTTTGCCATTGAGGATGTCTTGAAGAACGCTCTAGGCGATTCGTTGAACGCTGGCGTTGAGCTCCTCCCAGGTAGTCGAGTTGTTGATTTGCATTATGCTGATGATATCGTCTTGCTGGGTGACGATGCACACGTCATCCAACTTGCATTAAACCGCTTGACGATTGAAACATCAAAGTACGGTATGTACTTTTCGCCATCCAAATGCAAGGCTCTCTTCCAAGACTGGCAGGTGCCGCTGCCTGCACTCAATCTTGATGGTGAGACACTAGAGGTTGTGGAGAGCTTTGTCTACTTGGGAAGTTGCATCACTGCTGGCGGGGCTGTTGGAGACGAGATTTCGATGCGCATCTCGAGAGCAGGCCTCGCTGTTTTTAGGCTGAGGCATTTGTGGCATCGCCACGGCATTCGTCTCTCCATCAAAGTACGGGTCTATTGTGCAACTGTTCGTGCTGTACTGCTGTACGGATGCGAGACCTGGCCCATTCGTAAAGATGACTTGCGCAGGCTATCCGTCTTCGAGCACCGCTGTCCGCGGTCCATTGCCCGTGTGTGGTGGCAGCACCACGTAAGCAATGTGGAAGTTAGACAGCGTGTCTTGGGACGTGGAAGCCACTCGCTTGAGGAGCTCGTCTCACTGCATCAACTGCGGTGGTTGGGACACGTATTGCGCATGCCTGTCTAGCGTTACCCCCGTCGTGCGTTGTTTGCACTTGCTGGACAGGATTGGAAGAGACGGTCTGGTGAACAGCCTACAACATAGAGAAGCCGCATGAAAAAGCTGACGAAACAGTTGGCCTCGGCCGGTTGTTGTCGACTACCTGGTTGGGGTCCTAGAGATACGGATACTTTCTGGTTGAAGAACTTGGAAGCCACGGCTCAAGATCGATGTCAATGGCGGACGTGTGCATCGGTTTGTTGCAGTGTCCCTTCCTCCTCTCCCTAAAAAACAAACTGAAAAAATCTCAAAAACTGAGTGATAGAATAGACAAAAAAGCTTTTGTTGTTGTTGCTCTTTTCTTATTATTCATATTGTTTTCCTATTCAGCCATGATTACGATGGCATAATATCTGTACCACAGAATGTGTATAATATATATGTATACCATCAATTTCGTAAGGTAGCGAAGCGTCAAACGGTGTCAGTATGGTGTTGTTCCTAACCATGCCCTCAATCCTAGGGTTTTCGCTGGCGCTAGGATTCAAAAAAGCCGATCGAGTCATGTGCGATACAAAGTGGCAGTTTCCATTTGGCACACGCCTGACAAGCAGCAGGCGTGGATGCAAACTGAAAAAGCTGCTTAAAGAGCGAGCACAGTTGCTAGAATCATGCTCGCAGTCATTTGGCAACGTACCGTCAACAACGGAATAAATGCATCCTGGATGATTCAGGTGCGGATCAGAAGGATAAATACACGCATGTGCAATAGCCCACATCGTAACAAGACTCCCAGCATGAGCAGATATGCACACCAAGAGGCCAGCCTGGTTGCGGGGTCATGAAACATAAGCGACGACATATGACCAGTTGCGTCACAGACTGCGGGCACAGCGACGGTGTACGAGCAATAAAACTTTACAATTTGCGCAAATTTGGTGACGAATAACTCACCTGGTGAATGATTGGAGTATCTTCCGTTTCGGTAGTGGTCTGAACAATCCTACGAAAAGAAAGAACGACATGATTACATACGCCAAACACAAGACACACTAAACGGAATGAAGTTACGCAGAATGCCGGTTATGATTCACTGTGGTGAGAATATGCAGCAATGATAAGCGAAATACCAAGCCCAACTGCATACAACTGTACATATGCCATTGGAAAACGGATTCTATCGTCAGTGGAAGCCGAGGGTGGTCAGCAGCGTCTGGTTATCAATTAAGTCGCTACCGAATTGCATAGCTGGGGCGCTTCCAGATGTCGAGATGTATCATTAAAACAGACCGAAGCTGAAGGCCACATAAGAGCGCAAGTATTCCAGTCATCCTAGAGGTGCTTGGGAGTATAGTTGGATGAAACTACAATTCTAAGAAAACAACATATTTCAAACCAACAAATGACACAAGGACAGAACAAAGGATCACCGGACATACAGAGAGCAGCAAGTGTTTAATACGAAGTTATTAGGTGTCAAGGAAAATTTACCAGATGGATGTCATAAATGGTAAAGCATGTTCAACAGAAACAGCTCAATGGTTCATTACCACGAGAGCATTGATAAACTCACTCAGCGGTAGTTGAGCTTGTCTCACTGAGGATGTCCAATGCATTCGGAGGACTACTATTTTGGATATCGGAAACTGCATCTTCAGCTGAGGCCATACTTTCAACGGCAGTCTGTTGAGTGGTGGTTGTGGAGACAGGAAAGTGAATATCATTCGGTGTCTCGGAGACGGAAGCAACAGATGATGGAATATGTTGCTGGGTTTGCGATTGGGACTGTGAATCACTGATGGATTGTTGGCTCAAGTCCAACTCAGTGTATGTGGTTGGCAAATAGCCTTGTCTGTAAAGGTAACCAAAAACCGATGAATAGATGCCGCCAACCTGATTGAACAGGAATTAAGAAAAGCAAGAACCGGAGCGCTTACAAGTTACAGCTAAGAAGAGCAAGGGGTTAATGTGACAATGCCATTAACTAGCAGCTAGACAAGAAACGTTCGCGGTGTATTTTGAACATGAAGTGTTTGTTGACTGTGTGTTACGGCCTCTGTATTGTGCGACAGAAAAAGCGTAGGAATTCACATCCAGATACAGTGGGGATTCATTTCGCCTAGATTCACCAACTCAGGTGTAATATATGCCTTACTTTTGTCACACTTTCCGTGAGAGTTCAAAACATGCACTCATTAATATACTATGGGTTAAAGTGCGCCCATACTGAACCCAACACATCCGAACAAACCGTGATAGAATGGTTTTTACATCGAAGAAGAGTACCCAGTTAAGAGTTCTGAATCCATGCACTCAAAATCAGGAAAAAGTGCGGACCATGCGTACAAAATAGTAGACTTAGGTGATATGGTTTGATGTATTCTAAAACGAACCAAGGCAGAATCAGTTCGGTACATGTAATCGGCGAATCGATGTGTGATGGATCACTTTTCTTTGACTCACGGCGCTAAAATAACAACTAAGGGCAATGTGAGCGAATAAGAGATCCCAGATGGGATAAGTAAGGCTCCGAATGCATAAGCACCAATGACTACGTAACTGCGCCACTAAAGTGGCCGGTTCCGAGGACCCCATCTAACATGCAGACAAGCATCATCAATCTCCATGAGTATGTCATAACTCGCCACACCACAGGTTTACTCAACACGATGCAGTGCTGGTAATCAATATGCGTCGAGATAGCTTTCTGGCACTGGAACTATATGACCCAGATACGCTAGGTGAATCGAGTTGGATATGCCTTAAAATGATGTGGAAAAATAAACCACCGTTACTGTTAAGCAGGCTGTTCCGTATGAAAGCGAAAATTGACTATTCTCGGATGATACGGGAGTTGTACAACTGGCTTCGAATATCAGGTGGGACAATGGTGTGCCAACAGTTTGGAGCTATTTCTGACAAAACGCTAAGACGCACCAGTCCAATCTCCGACGGTTAGAATCACATCGTTCTAAAGTAATCACCGAATTAGTGTCATTGGTTTTTGTATCTTAAACTTGTTTGTTCACACCCGTTGCTTGTTATACATATTCATCTTGCTTACTGTAATAACGTGACAATATGAAATGCTTGCAGTTACCAAATATCGTCTTCCCGCTGTGCTTTGCAAGTAGCAGAAAGTAAGTGCGCCGCACAGGTGCTTAGGAAGTTGAGGTTTGTAGAATAGTCAAAAAAGCACCCGATGAAGAATTCTGTGAAAAAAAGTAAAATTAAGCCCGCAAGGGCAGGAAGGATTCTGGAGGGGCAAAAACTGAAAAAAACTTTTATGATGGAAGGCAATCCAGACATGTCCACTGGTACCTGGGGAACCTTGCAATAACTCGGTATGATCCATAATCAACGATTCCGATCCTCACTCTCATGAAGCTCACGGTTCTCTAAACTGGGAATTCAACACGGCTCAAGCAGATCCATAGCGTATAGCGATCGAACGGAAAGTGAACAACGGGTGACTGCGAATAACGGCGCAAGCGATCGGTTCAAGGGCAGATCAAAGCACTATTTGAGCCACCGAAAACATATTTAATTGCAATAGCCTCTACATCATTCGTGCCTATCGACACCTTCGTATTCATAAAACATTTTGCTATTTCAACACGGAAACAAGCTGCGATGTCAACTAGCTATCACAATTACACCTATGTTTTAGGACTCATGAATCTACTAACATTTTTCGTCGAGATTTATCTCAGCAAATTGTAATCGCCGCATATTTGCTTGTACAGAACTGACAATTGGTGTGCGTCGTGTAACATTGAGAGTATACATTATCATTTTTTAAAAACTGATGTCCATACACATATGCACATTAGGAAATGATGCATAAAGTAGGGCGCATTGGACTTCCAAATAGCGAAAAAACGACATAAAAGAAATAAGGATAATTCAACAAGATCAGGCTAAAGTATCTACATCATCAACCACAGTAGTCCATCATTATTTAGAACTGATGCTTCGCCGCTAAACAACCAGAATGGTCCAAGGAATGGGATTAATAAGTGGGGGAAAGGAAGACCTAGCGACAAATTTAAATACTCGAAGCAAGGTACCTATAAATTCTCAACATCGCATGACCACAAACAGCCGAATATCATGCGAGGACAATGCAGTATCATCGAGATATCTCCCTTGAGACTTTCAGAGACCCGCGTCACTACCGACTCACAGATGCTCCAGCCATTGAGAGGCAATTCGACTAGGAAATGACATCAAATGCGCCAATTGTGCTGACTGCGAGCCATAGCCTGCAGCGTTTAGTCAAGCGAAAGTCGGATAACGTGGACTCCAGCCTTGAAAGTCAAGGTGTGTCCCCCTCGAGCCTCGTGTAATCCGACATCCAGCAACAGAACAAAGCTGTCCAAGGCAGAGAGTGATCAGACAGATGCTTAAGCCAACGCAAAATTATTTGCTATTGTTCTGAAGAACTAACCTCATTATCCCCACTTAGCACTCGTATACGCACATCATTGTCGCGGACACGCTGGTGCTATTCGGCGCCACAAATGTATCGCAGGCAACGATGATCGTTGAGTTGGAGGCGCTTAGATCTTCCAACCAAAGGAGCCAAGTCTCCCTTCCATTGAGTAGGAGGGCCCCCACTTTGACGTTTCAGAATGGAAGAAAACTCTTTCTGACGTCACAGGTGTTGCAAGTTTCGGAGGGTTTTAGTTTCGCCATAAATGAACTGACTTCAGCAGCACATGCCCATCGCTGCTAAAGCAGTTGCAATGACAGATGAATTGGTTAACGATCTCCAGTTAAATTTTGTCAAAAATCAAGGGGTCTACGTGGGATTCGCCACACATGGACTTAGTAAGAGTCATCACCCGTCCGAAGAACCATTGGACAGACGTTTCGTTGTCTATGGAATCGCCAATAAGTGCGTATACCACATGACTTCTGTGGATAATTAGAACTCAGTACAGAGTGACTATAGTGTCACAAATCAACTGGTGACTTGCATTTGGTAAGCCGTCGTTCGGGGGCTACATTTCCTCAACGTGGCAGTTATGTGCAAGTGGGTAGCACCACACCACATCTAGTAACTCGGTCATTGTCATGCACAGTGGTCTTGAGCACAGATCCATAAAAGTAGCGTTGCAGAATATCTATGAATCAACCAAGGAGGGTTCAAATTTCAGAGGTGTTACGTCAGCTATAATTTGTAGTTGACCAAGGAAAAGGTAAATTCACATATTGAGTGACGGATATGGGCATTTTTGAAACGAGCTGATGCTTTGGCTATAGAGCACTGGTTAAAATCGTCTGCTCACTAAAATAATAAATTGTCCTGGAAATTTTTAACATCTCCCAGAGAGGCGCCTAAAGGGCAGATCGGCAGTGACGGTGTCGGAAGTCAATGATGTTACGAAACAACCGGCGCTCAATACATAGATGGAATAAAAGTTCATGATGGTTTGTGCGTAAGTTGCCGAGTCCGTATCTTATATCAAATTGAGATACTGAGGAGCCCAGACAGCATGCATACTACAAAACTAAAATTATATCTGAACTAGTGATGCTGCAATGCAGCGTGTCGAGTTTGCGGAATAAATAAAGCCAATGTGGTATCAAGACTGCGGTGGGTGGAGTCATAAATCAACCGGAATGCACACAGACTGCTTGAGGGAATCCGAACGACCAACGATGAAGCAGCCTTGGATTCGAGGACGATATGCAATCCAGGTTCATATGTGTCTGCAGCCTCGGTGTCGCCGGACGCGGGTAAGCACGAAGAGAGAAGACACATTACGCGCTGTCAATTCGAGAACTGCTAAACTAAGTATTGGAGACGCAGCAGAGCTCAATACAGGGTGACCAACATGAGTGCAAGCGCAGTCTGTTGAGCTGTGTCTAAGGGCATGTGTTAAATGTTATCAAAGAAGCGGGTGTAGCCCTGCTTTATTTACCTGAAGAGAGCAAGCCAGTTCGGAACCAGTCGTGGAGCGAATTGTCGCCCACTGCACAATCGCCAAGGTAGCCGTGAAGAGATTTCAGTTAGACAGATTAAGCAATTAAGGAGAAGTGCGTCAAAATTGGTCTGAGCAACTGAGTCAAAAGCATTCTGCGGGTCAATGAAGGTTCCTATGGTAGGCTGTGCTTATAGGAATGCAATGAGGGGTACAAATGTAGTCATTGTATCCTCCACCGGCGTGGAAACCAGCCTTAGCTTTGCGATTCGGTTGTTGCGAGAAATTTGTCTGGACACACCTGAATCATGAAGCACCAGTTCGCAGTACTTCTCGAGGATATCAAAAGGTATGGTTGCTGGACAGGGTAAATTACAACCTTTGCTGTGGCTCAGAAGAGTTCTCGTAAAAGATGATTGCTTGGATATATGGGTTAATACTTCATTACTCAATGCTGACAAGACGTTTCCAAGCATATTTCCAGGTATAGCACAAACCACACTGATGTGTAGCGTCTTCCTGCCTCTAGCACCAATGGCTTCTACGCATTTTGATGGTATAAAATGATGTAGTCTCGTGTCTTTATAAGTAAGTGGCAGTTCACACTTTGCATCTCCCATTAATCACTCCATTTGTGAGGCGAAATGCGAAATATGCAAACCCCAAGTATGTCAAAACTCGGCTACCCTTTTCAACACCTTATTACTCCGTTGATAACCCTACAACAAGAAGTAGCAACGGATGTTGAAATTAACTTTGCATTTCGCGTATTCTTGTCAACCGTTTGCATAGAGTTAGTGGAATAATTCGGTTGCACACACACACAGACAATCAAAATGCAGCGTCATTGGCCAAACACCAGCGATCAAATATCAGTTGATGCCGGCCGGAATCCCGCCCGGGGGGATGCGGTCACCAACCTCATCAAAACAAGAAAAGGCTAGTCAGCAACTAGGTCTGTTTACACAAGGGGGATTTCAGCCGCCGATTCGCTGAGGCTTCAGAAAACCGCAGTAGGCGAGGGGTGCTCTGACTGTTTGGACATTATAAGTGCATCACGATAGTGCCGACACACAGGGTAATTCAGTATGTGTCGGGCGATCGACCCAGCGGGTAGCGTGGGTGTTAGTGTAGTTGTAAGATGTCTCCGCACCTGTTGGAGGTGAATTTCAAAACTGACATCTTGGTAGAGCTACAACTGAATAATATAATTAGTTGTGACGAATTTACAAAAACGCTGAAGGATGGGGACTTTAAAGTGGGTAACCATATCGATATGGGCATTTCTGGTTGTGGGCATCCAAGCCTGTGCAGTTTCCTGCTGTGCGCAGTTTTTATGTGGGCTTCCTTCTGGTCAACATAAATTCTAACCACGAGACAACCGGGAACTAGTTCAACAGGAGCATTGTGATGAAATTATATGGGGGTCCGCTGTAGGTTGAATGCCCACATACTGTAATGCTTGAAATATCACTTGTGTGTCCGATCATATGAGATTACACGTTTGCGGCCACAGACACTCTAAGTTTTGGCGGGTAAACACCATACGGGCACGAGGGTCGATGGGCTCGAGATGGACTGTAGGAAATCAATGAGAAGGTGTGGTTTTTTCCTGTCGTTCGATGCAGCATGTGAAAGTCGAGTTTTTAATAGATCGAGATAAACTATTAACTCCTATTCTTCGCCTCACCTCGCTAATTTGCGAGCGAGTCATCATTCCCTTCCAACAACAATTAAATTTGGCTTGGCTGGTCCATAATCGCTAATCTGTCTGTTGCGAATGGTTCTGAAGGCACTTGGAAGGCGCCCTACTACAGTCGATCGATGAATTGCGATGGTGCACAGAGTGCAAAGCCATTACGCTGGAGATAAGCTGGACGAGTAATTGATTCACAATTCAAACTGAATAAGACCGGAATAAATTAAACTGATAGCGTGGTGACCGAGTGAGACAAAATAAGGGGATGATGCAGATAGGAACAAAAGTGGTCGGGGAATGGCCAATAAAAAAGATAAGTGTAAATGGTGGTTAGAAAAATAACTAAAAGTCATTTTCTTATTACTGTGAGCGTGATGAGAAAACGATGGGGGTTTATCGGAACGGTGAATCTTAACCAATTCTGAAAAGGAGGTCGGTGCGTTCAAGCCTCCACGGTCATAACATGCAGGTGGCTAATTTCATACAGAAGCAATCTGCGCTGAATGGATGTGCCGGTGTTTTTTCGGAATGGAAATCAGATGACACCAATTTGGACACAAAACTGTAATATTAGGGGTAAACAAAACTAGAATTACTGATTAGCGCCAAGCCCACACTGGGATTGCGTACGCGAGATTCGTAAGCCGCATAGCCCAACAAATCACCCACACTCCCGAAGGTCAATTTAAACGAACTCGTGAAAAAGAAAACCGACACGAGATTCTAAACTTTGTATGTGATTGGGATTGCAAACTATTTGACCGAATGGGTATCCGGTAGTTAAAATTTACAGAGACTCGGTGAATGCGCTAACAATAACAGTTATATAGGACTAAAATAGGTTCCAAGCGTAAATAAAAAAACACGAACAGCAGCATCGACGCATACGGTAAGAACATTTGAAAATCAAATTTGGCGACACGGAAACAACTCAATTCATGGAAAAAGATGAACCTTTCTGCAGTAGGAAGAGTGACTGATAAGTGCTTAAGTGCAGTTTGTTGGACATATGCAAATCAATGGAGGGAAGAGTGCCCCATCCGAAGTAACCTTAATGATACATCGGTGAAATCGAGACAGAGATGCGGGAAATTAAGAGCGGAAGAGAGAAAGCGAATCCATACACTCAACAAACGTAGGCGAACATTACAAGAGCTAGCTCATTGTCATCACTATAAAACAAATATAAATAGCAAAAGCGTGATAAGTGCAACGATTCAGAAGGTGAAAGGAAATAGGAAGGAGACAGACGAAAAGGTTTTGACAATGAAGCTACAAACTCACTTCTGTTCTTCAAAGTGCTCCTTTTGATGAGCGGTCAAAGTACGGCGCCGCTTGTGCATATTGGTTGGGACAGAGGAGATAACTACGAACTGAAAATACACGGAACCGAGTGCAAATAAGTAAAAAAAACAGATAAAAGAACAGAATCGGGTGTGGGGAAGTGGAAGTCTAAATGGAGCACACTATAAACAGAGATCGCTAGATAGAGGAAAGCCAAAACGACTGTGAATGACCTTTTCGTCTTATTGTGACCCATCGATACTCACTGGTAAGACTCAAGCAACTTGCAATATTACCAGCAGCAGTGCCATGCAGTTCATGCACGATCAAGATACTGATGTAAATATGAGCAAGGGGATGTAGTATATGTCTAGCTGTGTCGAGTGACAAATGAGTTAATTTCGAGCAAAAAGGCCTGCAGTGGAAACAAGAGCATCAAGCCTAGCGGAGGGTACGCGAATAAGTTATCTTGTTCTACAGAGACCGGTAAGAAAAGCTATCCACAGCATGACGTTGCAAAGTATAGAAAGATGAAGAACACAGTGGAAGAAAAAGGTGACCGATAAACGGTTTGCGCAAATACGAGGGAGTTTCTGAGGTCATCAAGGAGTATTGATGAAAAAAATCAGAAAAGGTGAATGATGTACTACAATTTGAGTGGAAAACCAAAATAATACTTAGGGTTGCCACTACTCATAAGATCGAAGGTTGCGACGTTTCGGAACGTTAGAGTGAGCGTCAAATGCGGTAGCACAAAAACCCAGCGAGAGGGAGTCGAATTCCTCGCCACTGCGTGGAACACATAACTTGTAGCAAAATAGCACGCTTGCAAGTTGTAGAAGCATGTAGATGATTCGTGAGGGGACGGTACTAGTGTTAGGCTATAAACAAATTCCAAGTGACATAGATTGTGTATTAACAAATCGCCCTGTAATATTAACGAAGGAGTCATTATTCATGTTTGTGCATAGACTAAGGCACTGTGGTGGAATAAAGAGAGCGTGACCAACCAAAGAAATCGGTATAAAATACCGATAACAAGACAGGGGAACAGTAAAGAAATACAGAATATGGGAATGTACACAGAAATAGGTTCAATTCTAATTTTATAGTTCCTTTGAAGTCAATGTGACAAGCGATGTCCGCTAGCGTTCTTTCCCTTCTCTTCCTCTATTTCCTTTAACTTTAAGGTGGATAGGCAAGATCGTTTCTTGTCTTTTGGGGAGTGAAATTTCAGCAAACCGATTAAGCAACCACAGTAGATTACGAGGGTCTGCCCATCGGTTCAACAAGATTTATGAAAAACCTGATGCGTAGTGCTGCAGACATCGCATGTACTACCCAACTCCAAAATGTAGGCGACGTAAGGTTGATTAGCTGTGTCCAGGCACCATGACTAATTACAGTCAACAATCGACCGGTTTACTTACCCAAGCAGATATGCAGCACATCTAATTGACACCTCACCGTGCGCACTGATGAGACGCGTGTGGTATTCACCGACCCTCTCAAACATTACAGCTTCGTGGTGCAGACAGACTTATTTCGGTCTGTGGATAAATCATGCTGGGTTAGGCCTAACCATAACAGACAGAATAGTTAACCGCGGGGCAGCGGTCACAACACAGTGGTGCCTTTTCGCTTGCATCGTCGCACTTAGCTACTAAATGGGTAAGCTAATGAAGTTGACGTTTCTGCGCACCCAGTTACGAGTTCCCATCATGTTGGTTCTTTTCGAATTTCTCATTCCATTAGTCAGGGTGCCAACCTAATAATGATTCATTCATTCATCCTCAATACCACAGGCGTTGATACAGCTTCCCAGGTAGTTGAATTTTCGAATGACTTTTAACTAATCCTCACCATGGGTCAGCGCAGGAGGCGGTCCCTGCCAATCTCGGAAGAAAGCTTTGCACTTCGATGGTGCAAAGCAAAGCCCGAAGTGACTGACAGGCAATGCTTATCTGTCCAGTGCCGTTTAGCACGTTTGAAAGCTGTCACAGATGAGTGCAATATCGTCGGAACACTCCAAGTCAAGTCGTCCTCCTGGGATCAGGTTCACACCTTCTAAGTCGTGTCATATGAACACGATTTCCATGACTGCCAATAGCAAAGTTTAAGAGGAAAGGTGATATTTTTGTCTTACACCGCTGGAGATACTGAAAGGTGGCGACAGCTGGCCACAAGCCCTCACTGTGTCTGAGCAAGATGCCTAAAGAGTTTGCGTAATATTTACAAAATGCTCGGATACACTTTTCCAGAGTAGAGAGTTCCAAAGGACACGTCTATCCACCGAATCGAATGCACCTTTGATATCGAAGAACATGACAACGGTGCGCCGCCAATATGTGACGGTGCTCCAGTAGCTGACGCAAAGAGTAGATGTGGTCAATGCAGCCACAACCTCGACGAAACCCGGCTTGCTCTTCACGAATATGGCTTTCACAAGTGCCAGTCAGTCTGTGAAGGATGACAGAGGCAAGCAATTTAGAGGCGATAGAGATCAGACTGATTTGTCTATGGTTTCCGCATTCCGATCGTGAGCCTCCTTTGAAAATTGGGACTATGACGGAGGGGCTCCAGTCGATTGGGACACTCCTGCTCCCACAGTTGCACTAGTAACTCGTATAAATGATCCAAAAGAAAAGGTCCCCCAAATTTGAAGAGGGTTGGATGAAGATCATCTGGTCTTGCGACTTTATTTAACTTCAACAGTGGGATCTCATGTTCCACTGCTGAGCGAGGGTGGATGCAAAGCGACAGCCCAGTGAGTGGTGCGATCAGTGGCCGGCGAGAAATCTAACCATTCCGACTGATTAAATTGCCTTTCAAAGTGCTCTGCTCAACGCACTAGGCGGTTTGACAAGTTGTGGATAGGCTGTCCACTCTCCTCACAAATTGATTCACCAACACCAGTTCTCCTGCTGCCCGTTTCCCGTATCAGCCGGAATAAATTACGATGGTTACCAAAGGCAGCGGCCATTGCCATCTCTGATGCACTAAGAGACCACCAAGATTCGCGGTTTCTCTTCAGGCTAGCACGGAGCTCTTTGCGAGTTTGATTGTGTTCACTTTCAGCCGGAATATGCCGGCGAGCATCGATAAGTTCCAGACACTGCGAAGAGACCCAATGTCCATGTTGGCGATTAGACTTACCACATGAGGATTCGCCTGCTGCTAGTAAGGACTGGTGAATATGAGACAGTGGGCTTCAACTGCATCCAGTGAGCGCTTACTCAACTCGCATGACAGCGCATTTTGATAGGCGTTCAGAACAGCTGGTTTCGCCAGTTGGCTGGTGTCAATGCGCTCACAATGTCGTCTTGGGCGTCCGCCAAAACGCATCCGCAGGTCAGCACATACAAGTGCATGGTCGGTGTCCTCACGAGTGCTCCAAATCGAGCGACGGTTCTGGAAGCAGCCTCCCAGCGGTAACTAATCGCATAACTGCTTAGAGGTTGGTGGGTGCCAAGTTACTCTCCGGCGAGTGTTGTGTCGGAAATTAGTACTCGCAAGAAATAAGCGAGGATCTTCACGCAAATTAAGTAACCGCTCACCGTTACCATTAGGGGAACCTACACCATGTTGTCTGCCTAGATGCAGTTCATCAGTGGATCCTGTTCCAATTTGAGCGTTCAGCTCTGCCCAGTACAACAGTATCCGTGCTAGTTCTGGGCGAAGCAGCTTGCTTAGTTGACGGTAGAAGTCGTCTTTTACTGAATCATCCCTACAGTTTGTGGGTGCATAGGCAGCGATGACGGATAGATACCTGTTAGTTCCGCGCGACTTCGAAGCTTTGAACGAGCCTGCCAATCGGACCACAAACAACAGGCTACTGTTGGGAATCCAGTCAACCAGAGCAGCTTCAGGCCGGGGACTCAGGGCAATATCAACATCAGCTTGGCCGTTGCTCGAAACTGCATCGTCACTCGATAGGCGCATCGAGAAAGTGCTGCTGGTGTCACCTGAAGGGGGTCGCAAAGTGAGCACGGAGTTCGAGTCTTGCAATCGAGTCTCCGAAAGGCAGCAGATATAGATCGAAAGGGTCTCTAATGTTCGGGCAAGTGCAGCAGGTTGACCGATCTGCAGCAATGTGCGTACATTGAGGCAGGCCAAGCTAAAGAATAATCAAGGGCTCTAAATGGAACTCGATGAACCGGGCTTGGCCGTTTGGTTTGGCATGGGCTTGTCGAAAGGACAGGAATGACGCTCCACGTTCACATGTGAGTTGAAACTAAAAGGTAAAAGCCTAGCAGAGGAAGGTGGGGGAGGGCCAAGAATTGGATGGTTGAAAACAGGGGGGGATAAAAGTGAAGCTGGAACGAGAAGGCAAGAGAGAAAAAGCGTAAGACGGGGAATAGAAAGGTGGGAAGGTTTGAGCAGTGGCATCCAAACCCCTATCCACCCTGCTCGATGCAGCAGATAGGGCATTGTTGATTATCCTCTGCGGTGACCAGAGCATCAATAAACTGTTTGAAAAGAAATTCAGTGTATTGCGTAGGCAGAATACTGTCAGCTTGCCCAGGCCTAGATAGGAGAACGATTAGGGTTCTCAACCAAAACCTTTGGTTCAAAAACCTGACCGTAAGGCAGCGGGTTTGGCGTTGGACTACAAGGAGTCTGTTCTAAGGAATAAGAAGCCACCCTCATTCCAACTATCCAACCTGGAGGACCATGAGGCTGTTTGTCCGGCCTCTAACTTTTGACCAATCTGGTATCAGTGGCTCTGAAGGTACAAAAAAGCACCACCCAGCATTGCTCAAGGGATCACTGAGGCACGCAAACAATCGCACCACGGTAGGGTCCATCCTCATTACGATGGCTAATAATAATTAGAGACTAAGGACGGATAAGTGAAAAAACAACTGTAGGAACGACACGATTCAGTTGATGATGTAGGAAGAACCAAGAAGTACTCACACAAAGAATCCTGCTACAGAGTTCTCTGTTAAACTAGAAAGCCGCTTTAAGCCATTTGAGTTTTTAGTTAGGGCTATAGTTTCAGCATGGTATGAAATCGTTTCTTATATGGTAACAAATATCAGTGATGAACACAAGTGTCTGAAGTTCGGTAAGGTAAGCATGAGGTGCTAGCTGGTAGATGTTCAGTTGCAAGGAGACAAAAGGTAATGCATGAGCAGAGTCATCTATAGCGTTCCGTGGAGATTAAAGCCCTCCTATATAACCATAAGCACACGACATTCCAATGAGAACAGCAAAACAGCAAATTTCCAGTGAACGGAAGGACGTGCAACAATCGAAATGCTCCTAAATGTAGCAGGATGAAGCAACGACGCGCGAAGCGAAGTGGGTTGCCAGTATAGGTAAAGGACAATCGATATAGCTATTGTCAGACAGGTGAAAGTAAGGTAAACATCAAGAAAATCGGATGGGTTAACCTGTGCGGAATCGTCGAAGTCAACAGGTGCCGGAGGAGACAAAACGCCTCTATCACAAGCTCTGAGTTGCTGAGTATCCTCGGTGACTGGCAGAATCCGTTTGCGCAATCCAGAAAATCCAACAGATTTACGGCAAGGGGATACTTGGTTAGCATCTTCAGGAAATAAGCGACGCTTCACCAGAGGCCGACCAGGAAGCAGCACGGGAGAGCCACATAGAGGGGACCAGAATTCCGAGCTTCCCTTCACATCGATTCCCTGAACGGATGCAACATCTCTAGCCGGCGATCCAGCAGAGACTTTATGTGCAGTCGGAGAAGATGCACGAGGGCGTCCCCTACTCCGACGACTACCAGTTAGAGAGGAAGGGGCTGACTGGGTGAGGCTCGTGACCCGTTCCTGAGAAACTACATGCAAAAGGTTGGCAAAATGAATGAAGCACGAGGGCGAAATAAGATCAAAAAGGTTTAAAAAAACTATTTATGACCTGTCAACATTCTTATCGCTTGTCAAATTCACATGTAATACAGTGAAAAAGGACAACCCACAGTAAATTGAGAATCACAAATGTGAGATACCACTGGTAATGGGTAATCGTTCTCGGAATCTAACACAGGATAACTTGGCATACAACAATGTTTTGAACTGTTGCACTGATTTTTGCTTCTACCATATCCTCCGGCAAAGTGTTACAAGCATTGACCGCTTGCTGTCCAAAGCATAGATGATAGGGAAAATCGTTTCAGCTCTGACACTACAAGGTCGTGCTAGTGTCAGCGTGCGCTGCATGGTAATCACAAGTGGAGCAGTGGCTTCAGCATGGCATGCGATAGGTCATGCGGTGGCCGATTCGCAACCGACGATAGGCCAGGGTGTATATTCTCAGTCTTTGGCAACTGTCTATGTACAGTGAACCCCGTAAACTAAAGGGTGGGATTGGTAGTGACGTGGTTGAGTCGTTCGATCTCCCGAGCCTTAATCTAGCATTGGGTTTGTGGTGAAAGAGAAGATCCGAGTGGTGACCTTTTCAGACAAAGGACAAGCTGCGCTTGATAGTATCGAGTATGCTGCCCTTTGCGGAAGATGTGGGATGTAGCAGTTGTCCGTCAAAAATGTAGGTTCTTCCGTCAACACACTTACACAAGCTCAGGAATATCGAACAGAATGGGTTGGCCGGGATGCAAACTTCTGCAGACCAAATGGAAGCACGGTTGAGGTCTTGTTAAAGTGGGCCGTAGACGTTAAAAGTGCCTGTCACATAACAGGCACACGGCGACCGAAGAAGTTGAGGTAAGTGGTTGATATAAATTAGGAACAATGTAGGACCCAGCACCGTGCTTTGGGATACGCCACTGGTCGAAGAATACCAGTCGGTCAGGTGGCTATCGACTTGCATCTTCCAATTTCGTCCAAGGAGAACTCGTGAATCCATTGATGCAGTAAGCCGCCAACACCGCACATTCTCAGTCTATGTAAGATCACCTGGTGGTTTATCTAGTCGAATACTTCACTGAAATCAATGTCGGTCAAGTCCACTGACTTCCTCGGTTTAACGCTCGCAGATATTCATGTCTCGTTTCCAGCAGGTTGGTAATAAATGAACGAGCTGGCATGAAAGTGTGACGTACGGGCGTCAGCAGATCTGACCGGAAGAGCTGTAACAAAATCTTCATAATCTACTTGGCATCCTTGGACAAAATAGATGTCAAAAAATTGGCCGGATTACCTTACCCTGAGTACCTAAAACTAATCGACAACAAACCTTCACAAACAGACCTGTTGAACAGGTCAGTTACGGCAAGAAAGCTGATGGCCGATATGAACTTGAGAATCAGAGGGTGGAGCCCAGAACGCTCAGTGTCATAAAGGCTGGTGAGTAGTTGAGGCATCATTTCCACACCAAAATCCAAACTGTCGAGTTCGATAAGGGTGGTGCACGCCGAACTCGGTACAGACACATGGGCATTTGCAAACACAGAAGCAAAGTGTGCTGCAAAGACGAATGCACGCTCAGTGTTGGAGGTTATGAGCTGTCTGTTCGCATCCTCTATCACTGGCAGGTTAAATGTCGGTCTCACGTGCCGCTTTATGTACGCAAAGATTCTCTTCGAGGCGGTTGTTGCGATTGCAAGTTGCTATTCAAAATACCTATTCTCTCGTTTTCACACCGTTGTAGATATTTTGCTGCCTTTTATACACATCATATTCGTCGACCAAGCCAGAGATAAGGAAGATGTCTCACATCCTGCTCCGCTGCCGAGCCAGCTTACCATATTCACTGGCTAACCAATGCGGCCTGACTGGTCCGACTTTCTGACACCTGAGGCCCAAACCGGTTATATAAATTCGTTATGACTGACCAGCAATTTTAAACAAAAGCAGTTGGCGGGAAAGACTAATCCACTTGCTTTTCGGATCGACTCAGACAGTCGAAGTCCGTTTTTCACTAGTTTTAGATTGGACGTGGTGCGTGGGAATGCTACAGCGGCAGCTCCATGTTAGCAATAAAATCTAAGTGGTCGCTTGCTGCCAGAGGATATAGGATCTGAAGGAAATACACACGCTGTTCACAGCTTAAGATCAACTCTAAACACAACGGAGTTGAGCGCGATGTAATGCGCGTCGGTTGGCAGATGTGTTGTGATGCACCAATCTCAAGTTCTTTTTCATCGAAACTTGTTTGGGTTCCACAACATCCGGATATAGATTTCACTTTAGGTCGGCGTATTCGAGGACGATTGAAATCGCCTATGAGCTGGAAATGAGAGCGACTAATATGGTTCCGAAGATGCGGGTTGTGAAAAATGACACCCGTGTTTAAGCTGGATCGAGCATCACAATTGCTCACGTAGGCTACCTTCGCTTCGATAAGCGCCCACAAGTCTCCCAGGCAGAGAAGACCGGATATAGAGCAATACGCCACCGCCGAGACTCGATAGCCTATCATAGCGTTAAGCATGAGTAACTACTTAGGTCAAACTCATCCTTCAGTCATGTCTCTGCCAGTCCAAGTACATTTAGTCGCTTGAAAACAAGGAAGGAGCGCAGCTCTTCCCGCTTCTTCGTGAGACTGTAGACGTTGGTAAAGGCAACACGCAAGCTGCTATAGGGACTACCGGGAGTGAGCGAACTCGCGATAGGTAAGCTTTTTCCCCACTGGTTCGCCGCTTTAGCTCGATGGTAGGATATTTAAGACGCTCTCGGTCAGCTAAGTCCATATCCGGGCGAATATGCACACTCTCGCTTGACAGGCTCCTCAGCCGAGGCAGACTGGCCGCGTCTGGAAAAGTTACTCTCATAGGTCGGTGGTTCTCAACACTGTTTTTGCTGAGGTGGATGAATTGCCTCACATTCACTCCCTCCTCACCCACATCAAGGAGCATATCAATCAGGTCCTGTAAAAACCCTATATCATTATCATAGCGGGCCTGAGGACTTGGATGAGTAGACTCAGGCGCATTTAGAGGTACTAGATCACAGTCAATGGAGCACAAGACGCAGTTAGCGTCGTGCTTCTGGAAAAGTTAAGGTGGCTAGATAATGATTTGTCTTAGGGATTTCGAGTTGAAGTTCGGATGAAATCTGGGCCATTTTGCATGACCACATGTCTAGAACTGTTCAGTCAAATATTTCTGGCCACTACCTGCATCGGTAGATGTCATACGTTTCTCTGGCTGCATCAGACTGGAAAATCGACGCACATCATTTTGATGGAACTAAGTTGTATGAGACGTAGAAGATGACAGGAATCGGCAGAGAGAAATATGGAAGTTAGCAAAGTAATCAAAGCCCTAAGCGCATTTGTTGTGTTCCCAATTATTTTCAAACATAAATCACAAGATGATTTTTTCGGCATTTTAAGAAATATGTGAATATTACAGAAGAGTAGTAGGGGGAGTTGAATGGTATGGGCAGAAATTCGTCACACCTATACTCACTCAGACAACCGCCACACGCCCGAAAAAGCACTGTACGCGCGTTTCATCGTTTCGGGAATCGTCAGCAGTGCGCATTCCTTCGGACCCTGGTAGGGCTCGAGCCCGCAACTCGACTGTTGCCAGTCCGTGGTTGAGACCACTGAGCTACGGGGGACGGCGACGACCTTCGTGAATAAGTTACTAGATGTGATATAGCGCCGCTCACTATCCACTGACTTACACGTTACTGCCGTGCAGAGGACAGGGTAGCCCCCTAACCAAGCGACGAGCTTAACAAACTTAAGCCGCCAATTAACTTATAGCATTATAAGCAGTTTGGTCGGCGTACTGATTACAGAAGTGTAGTAGGGGGAGTTGAATAGTGAGCGGCGCTATATCACATCTAGTAACTTATTCACGATGGTCGTTGCCGTCCCCCGTAGCTCAGTGATCTCAACCACGGACTGGCGAAAGTCGAGCTGCGGGTTCGAGCCCTCATAGAGTCCGAAGGAATGCGCACTGCTGATGATTCCCGAAAGGATGGAACGCGCGTACAGTGCTTTTCCGGGCGTGTGGCGGCTGTCTGAGTGAGTCTAGATGTTAATAGTTTCTACCCATACCAAATATGTAAATGTAGCGCCACTTGTTAAGGCAGAAATTGCAATAGGAAATGTGCCCAAAGCGATCACATAAAAGGGGATGTAATATTTACAGAATCAGAACTGAAACTAAATGATGCCTAAATTTTCATAAAAGTGTTCCAATCTGCCCATAAATTCAATTAGAGAGAATACTGAAAACACAGCTATAGGGTAAGCAACCGAACGCCGCTAATCGCAGGTGCTGTGATGAAAAAAACAAGTTGTTCACATAACAAAGTTGCTGCAACACAAGGCTGGAAGGTCATCCGGAGGTTAAAAAACAATGCGACACAGCGGTGCACACGTAACTGGAGCTGATACTTCGTTGCTATAGAGCAATCATGATTTTATGGACAGTAATCAATGAGAGGATGAGGGTAAGAACATAATCAAAAATTCAAAAGATCCAAGTAAGCATCATGGCAACACAACCCACAGTCACAAACAGCTAGCTAACGTGCGAAGATAAGGTGAGTTAGGCGAGATGATCGCTTGCGAACGTCACTTCCCAGTGTTTGCATCAGAATCACTACTTAGCGTCAGACACAATGTAGCCGCAAACAAGCGACAGGCGCTGAATGCGAGCCATACTCTGCGCATCCAAGTCCAAGCATAGGATGCGATGCGAGTAGCCCAGGAAGGAAAATGAGAAGAATGGACAGCATCCAGTCTGACGTTAAGTCACTCTAGTCTCTGTTACCAGGACAACTACTAGTAGCCACCAGTAGGTAAGCAAAATAAAATCTCCTACGGTGAGCAGTGGACAGGCACATGTGTGTAAAGTAAAGATACTCATTCGGTCTTATTTTCTGTTATAACAGACCGACCTGTTAACGGCTGACGCAGATGATGCCGGTTCCAGAAGGCAGCCGTAGTTTTCGTCACACACAAAGGAACATCAACAGCGAAAGACGCTCGTCACTGCTACTGCGGATGAAAGTTAACCAAACAGATCAACTGGACGCAACAGTTTCCAAACAGCTTAATCAAGCAGTCGGTGGTCTCGCAATATCAGATTGCTGAAAAGCGCATGCCGAAGAATGGAAAGAATTCGCAATCACGCGACAGTTAGCATACTTACAATCATGTTGATTTTACCAACTAAAACATCAGTACCTACAGGGAACACTTATTAGTAAAGATTACGGTAAAATATAGCAAAAACAGGGGAAGCGAAAAATAGTAGCGAACGCTACTTGTTGTGCGAAAGGTAACCATTCATTCGTCACAAACCCTGACGCGATCCCAGGCGTCTGAGTACACGGGCACGCAATTGCATCACTACATAATAGAAACATGCTTCGGAGTGATCGATTAAGTCGAATACTGCTTCACATTAGAGGAACACAGCTATTGTCGACCTGCGGTAGGTGTGACACGCATATAAGAGCAAGGAGATAGCACTAATATGCGCTATACAGTCCCCACATGCATCCCGGATCCCAAATCAAGTGCAGGTAAATAAAAGAGAAGAGAGACTATTATATTTAACATTACGAGTGTTAAGATAGAATACCGCGACTTGGTACGATCCGTCCCAGTTAGTAAGGATGACACCTTTTCACACTTGCGAGGACAGGTAGGTAGCTGAACTATATCGGAAGAATGTGACGGTGTCAAGAAGCTTAGGATTAGCTTGAACCTATATACTAATTGCATCTGGTTCAACCTGAACCACCTACGCACAAAAGACACTCGAAACGCGGAACCAACGAAGCTGCTTCGCAAAATGCTCCATGTGAATGCATTCATCGTCCGTGTGCACTGATCTGACAGTCACCGTATGTGAGATAGATGGAGGAGGATTCTAGTATACTGCATCGGTTCAGTGACACCTCGCTCGAATGCCTAGTGCATGGTTGACTGTTATCAAGTTAGGTGTCGCTGTGATCGATTTGCATGTCGACAAGACGCCTGTTAGAGTCGCGTTCATAGAGACCATCCAAGGAAATATGCAGCTCTAGAGGAATCTTGTACTTATCTGCCGTGAAGGTAACTTATGAGAAGCTAATAAAAAGAATCTTTGCGCTGTATCTACAATAGTTGGATGAAGAATGGAAGCTCTCCAGGCATGCTTCTGATGAGTTGCATACCCAGAGCTATCTGTACTGCAATGAACTTAACAAATTCAGAGATGATGCAGTACAATCGTTGCCTCCTGATTTCTGAACATAGCTTAATCAGTAGCTGTGTCGAATTATCTGTTGGTAGAAATATAGGAGAATTTGGCCGTGGTGGGGGGACACACGAGTCAATGCGGTGGGAAACCAAATGAACTGGCCATTCCAACAGTACGCGCATCACCATTTCAAGTAAGAAGTAAGACACACTGCTACTGGTTACTGGGGTGTACAGTTATAGTGACAGTGTTAACTTCGAGGGGTGATTCCATCCAGTGTGGAACGGGTAACCCCCCTGTGTACGCCTGACATGCATGTTTCCCTCAACTTCCCATAAATGATGTGTACCTCAAACGAAAGTATGTCGGTTCCGAATCAAATGTGATTCCATGCACATGCCTTATTCCGGCTTGCGTCGGGTATAGAGTGAGTAGATGGAGTCGTGGGTGATGCAGCACAACCAACTGACGGTCGTTCTGCAGGTGCCAGTGTCCTGTGCCCATTCGCAGTCACAGTGACAGGTAACTATGAAAACTGAAGCCGCCAGTGACAACATATGGGGCTTGAAAGAATCGAGATGGGTTTTCGTGACAAACAAAGGAATCGTCTATAGTGATGCCTAAAAACAACAAAAAGAATCAGCAATTGTGACAGGATCAGAGTCGACATATGCGCTCCCATACCAGAGACAGACAGAGTTAGGGTCAAGCAACGTTACAAGACAAAATATGTGGTATTCATCGCATTCTTAGCTTCATGGGGTACGTTTGTGGATGAATGTTTCACAAAAGGCCGACTTGTGGCCATAAAGATGACAAGCCTGTCATGTAATCCTGAGGTCGCGGTACTGCGTGCCGGCGTACTACTCTTTCTGCGTGAACCTGAGTCTATCAACGAATTAAAGCTAGAGGACTATTTACTATGCCATAATGAATGAAAAGGTGTGTCAGACTTACATTGTAGGCAGGATTTCGGAAAGCGTTAGTATAGCACAATAAAGCTGGCGGGTGCTCGTTAGAATAAACCAGCAAGCGTCGGTGATTATCTGACTGTCATCGAAACGCTAAGGTGATCAGACGGTCAATAGATGTTTCGTGCATATAATCTGTACCGCGTATACATAGGTTGGGCGTAGCGGAGTAACCGCCTGATATGTCAGTGGGCGGACACCTAGACAGTCTAGTAGGAAGGGCAACCGGAAAACCGACCACAATTGAAGAAATTTGCAAAGAATTGAGGTGTATAAAAAGCATGGAATGGTGTCGTTAATACAGCGGAGACGGCGACTTGCACCGCATTGATTTACAACAGGTAGACATGCATGGCCACTTAGTTGATTAGCAATAAAATCCGTGAGGAAACAGCCTTCAAATTAGATAGTGCTAGAGAAAAACCGACCGGACAAGCTGTCCATAGCTGTGGTAAAACTTAGCACAATTTCCTACGCAAAATCTTCAGTTAATGATAGCGAGGGGCGATCTTGTCTCGCTTAGGTCCGAGTTGCGATACAAAAACAACAAACAAGGACCATCGTCCATGAAAACGCTACTGAACAAAAGTGCGTTGCTGTGAATTTCGGAGCACGAATGTTTTGAACAACGTTCATACGCACAGAATAGGTTGACACAGGCCACTGTCGTCTCAAACAAATTTATAGATTGAAGCCAGAAATATCGGTCTACTTCTGCCGCTCTGAATAATAAGTGAATGAGAAAATCGGTTCTACCAGATACTGATGCCCAGGAGGGTAGAGAGAAGATAAAGTATGAGAGAACAGAAATACCTGAGTGGTAACACTCACCACGCCGACGCAAGGGTGTTGTCTGTATGTCAACTGATGGGACCCTTTTCAATGACAAACGCCCTCCTCTAGGTCGACCACGAGAAGGGCGAGAGACGCGCGAATTTTGGTTATAAAACTCCTACAAGGAAGCAAAAAGAACATCGTTTAGTCAATATTTATGAGATTGCGACGGGAGAGCTATATACAAGCATATACGTGAGATTAGGCATTAAAACGTGCGGCGTATAATAGCGCTGCATACTTGGACAAATGGAGGCAGCAATACAGTAAGCAATAAGTATGCCTCCACACTAGCTCGATTACCGATAATGCCTGGACGACTGCAGTGAAGTGCCAGACTCGCCGTTTATATGCAATAGAACTCATAATAACATCTGAAGAGAGCGAATAACAAATTCGATGGGCGAAGAATCGATTACGCAAGGGGTTAAAGAAACGGTGGAATAAGACCAGAGGTGGGTGCGATGGAGCGCAATGTGCTCAACAAGTGGGCCACTTGATGAGAAAAAGTGAGCGAGGTTAAACAAACGATATGGAGTTAAACGTACAGTCAATGCACAGAACTGTGCACAAAAAGCGCTTAAAGTGGCATTCAAAATTATGAACTGAGGACAACAAACAAATATAAAGGGGAGCGAAATACTCTGCAAAGAAAGAACGATCAAACAACACTGACGTAGCAAATCAGAGAGAAGGCATACAGCACCTGGTTTAGCATCCGAGCGGATGATGCATTATCATCGAAGCTGGTTGACAGTCTGTCACTTTGTCCAGATTGTCTGCTTCTGGAGGAAATTGGAGTTCGTTTCTGTCTCAGACCACCAATAGACGTCTGCACAGGTGAAGTGCTTTGTTTAGCTTGAAGAAGAGTTAATCGAGCTTTGACATCCTGTTCGTGTTTCGCCAGTATTGTCCTCACCTCGTCCCAATGGCCACGTGAAGAAGTCCTGTCTGTGAGGCATGTGTCAACTAAGCGATTCCAGAAGCCGACAAACCAAAGGAAAAAACACCAAGCGTGGGATGATCTGGAATCTGAAAGAGTAATCGGGAGGAGTGAGTTCGATGTGGAAAGACGGGAATAGATGAGTTAACTTTGTATGGGGTACATTAATAACAATTCGAATGATGAATATCACATGACACAACAAAGCATGGAGCTGGCCTCAATGCGCAAATTTGACAACCAAAAATGAGCACTCGAAGGTGGTGGAAACAACCCATTAATGAATAGTAAAAACAGGCAGAAGGTTGGAGGAATCGACGCACGAAAAGATAAGAAAGTAAACGATTCTAGAGCTTCCGAACTCCTACAACCTGAATGGACCGAAAGGTTGTATTAGGGACAAAATGTGTCGGGCTTCAGCAAGCGCAAACATCATAAGTACAAACCTGAGCGAAAGGAAGAAAATGACAAGAATTCGAAAAAGAAATTAAAAAATCAACAGAGTTGTAGCGTGCCACGATAGTTTCCGTGCCACACTACAGAGTGACCACCGGCTAGGTCGCTTTTCCAAACTGGTCCCAATCTGGGGTGCTAATTGAGCCCTGGTAGTCAAGTTGTGGAGAGTAATGGCGAATGACCACCGGGTTCAATTCCAGCCTGTAGCCACAAGTCGTTTGTGATTTCCGAGGAGAAACATGACGTCAGCAATGTTTTCCAGATAGCACAATGAACCTGAAGTTACCGATGCAAACTAGTACACCCCAGAAGGAAGAGAAATGAGAGTTCGTCGAACAAATGGTCAGTATTTGGGTTATCCACTAAGGAAAAATATCGGGTGAGAAATTGAGCGCGTAGTTCACTACATGCGTGCCTCGGTCCACCGAGAAATAAACCTTAACTAATTATAAATATTCCGCAAACCGCATATCAGAAAGGTCTCAAAGCAGCTGGGCACAAGGGACGAGCACACAAGCCATCTGCGTGGTCCATTCACAACGTGAGTGGTAATTTGCAAGTTACTGGAAGTGATAACAACACAAAGTCAAGGCAAGTGAACAGAAAGGGTGGAAGTGGTTGGTCGGTCGCCGGTCCCGAAATCCGGATGGTCTTCCCGCCAGCGTTACAGTATACGTGTCTTGTCTGTAGTAAACGCGTTCCTAACCACTATGACAGACTTCATTAGTGTATTGTCCAGTGAGAAATGCATTGAAAAATACTAGCGGCTAAGTTAACAATAAGATGACGATTAAGTACCTAGCTACGGAAGACACACTACGAAGAACAACCCGCAAACCGTTGTCCAAAATTAGCTAAAAAGGGCATCCAGCTGCGCGGATCTGCGAAATCGTAATAATACAAGCGGATAAACGTTCCAGAAAAATCGACCAGGTGATCACAACAGACTGAACAGTTCAAATATCGTTTGCGACATCGGTATCACTAAAGTGAGAGGAGTTGACATGAGCACAAGTAAAACTACTATTATTAAGCTTTGTACGGAAAATGTAGTTGTCGTATTTGCGGTTATTACAAAAATGAAAAATTACTAAAGTAAGAAAACAGTTGCGCTAATCCACCTGATTGCACGGAACATAGTGGGAACAAGCACTTCTCATGTCACAAATCACACTGCTCCCTTCAAATTCCTGTATTTCGGGATATCAAACACGAGCAATTGAAAAATGATACTGCAACAACAGAGAGGTGAGAAAACTGTGAACGCAAATGAGAATTGGACCTCATTAAAATAAGAAACCTCAAGAAGACTAACCTATGGCTGTTGAGTGAGCGTTGCACAAATTCAGAGATGCGCGTAGTAGACCCAAACAGTGATGTGAAGTCAGGGAAAACGACACCTTGGCTCCACTGTGGACGGAGCCATGAGACAGCGTACGAACAACATCGACTAGACCAGACTGGGGAATTGTGATTGGAGAGATGTCTAATCCACGCCATAAGCAAATGTATATCTCCTCGAGCTGAGAAAACAAGAAAAAATGAAGAGGCATGAGCAAGAGAAGGTCGCTGCTGCAGCACTTCCAGGAGCATGAAAGTCAGACTTTTATGACTAATCAACCGCTTATTGTAGTTTCGCGATATGATGGAGTGTTATACGAGATTTATGTGCAAAAACTTGCTCAACACACATTCGAATGTTTGCATGTGGATCGGTCTTTTTAATCCATTTGGACAATGATTATATCAACTGATCATAACAACGCTGATTCCTCGCGATTTCGGAGCAACAAGCATCTTACTATAAAAGGAACGCACGTGTTCTCGCACAAAAGGCTGACGAGGAATGCATACTGCCAAATGTGTCCGAGTGATACGAATGAGATATAAAGGCGGGGATTAGAAAAAGATTGAAATTGCAATCAAGGAATATTTTCGTACATAAATCCAAAATTCATTGATTGGTTTCTGAGATTGGTCGCGCTCGTGAACAGTTCGCAACCCCTACATGGGTATAATCATGGTGTGTAGTCCATAAGGAGGCAGAATTTAGGTCGGATCCAAAGAGAAACTACTATAGATGGTAATCGCGAGATACAAGGGCTGCGTACGTATAAAAGAATAGGGTGTGAACGATGGTAGGAAACAATGTTATAACTTAAAAGCGAGCGACGACGGTGTGCAGTAGTAGAATGAAGTACAGGCGAAAAACTGCTCTAGACCCAGCATGAGCGCGCTAAATACGGAACGTCCCAGTGAGGAAAAGTGTGGGCAACCTAGGGACGATAAAAAATGCATGTGAGTGGGAAGCAGTTAGGCTGGACAACTATAAAGCTAAAGGTCAACAGAAAGAAGATCGGGACCGTTGACGGACCTACAATTACTGGTGGTGCAATAGATGGTACACAGGTCGCAGCATACCGTATAACAACGGACAACAGTGCATAAAGACGGAATTTCCCAAGTAACAAACCGCAATTTTTGCCTGTTCTCGGCGTTGAATGATGAGAAGTGGTTCGTCCAACTCGACTTCAGTCCTGTGGATGTCTGCAGCTGTGCGTGCGCAACACGCAGTTAGGCGTTCCAATGGAGCGTTTAAAGCATCAATGACAGCAACCAAAGCTTCAGGCCCACGAGCGTGATGCTGTGCAATGGAGCGAACAAGACAAGTTGTACATATGGGTGAGAGTCAAGCGACAAGCGAAAAACAAAGGTCACATTCACAGCAAACTACTCACTCGGATGAGAATAGTTACAGCCTCGAGAGCGTCGATGAGGCCATAAGACAGTTTATGCGAAGGTGTAAACTGTCCGACCAATATTGACTGAGATGTGTTGGAATTAGAGTCACTGTTCACGGTGATGTAGCTACTCTCATCAGAACAGTCGAGCACACGCGATAGGAAAGATGAGGGAGATTTAATAACGTCTCGTTCTGATCTGCCTGTGGAAATATTGGCAGAAGGCTAAACGAGAAGAAAAAGGTTTGGGAAATCAAAGAAAATTCAATGAAAAACGTTTGTAAAACTGCAGATCCAGATTAATAACGCATTGTGTAACAAAAGAGGGCAACAGTTGTCTAACCGAAAATTATTTCAAAACCGATGCAAATGAAGCGAGTGGGGGAAGAAAGCGCGTGTCACATTGGGTTCACGTGATTTAAGCGAGCTGCTGGGTGGATTGTAACTTCAACAACTCAAAAACAATTCACACGGATGCGGTTAGGCATCAAAATCGTCAGAGCAATCAGACCAAATAGAGGGAGGGAAGGAAGAAGTTAGTAGCCTGGGGGAGGCAGAGGGAAGATAGAGAATGCATCAATTTAACAACAGTCAAAGGTAACCAATCGGAAGTCGAAAGTTAATTGCCTACAAGGAAATGGTGCTAGATCGAGAAAAGTAAGCAGAGTTCTCAGTGGTCATAAACGTTTTACCGTGGTACCCTTGCTATGTACAAAAGCAATTTAAAGTCGAGCGCTAAGTTAACGAATGACTACGAATCAACAGAAATAGCAGCTGCATGTGAGTAGGTAGAAGTGTGACAAAACGACGAAGAAGTAGGTGCGAGTCACACGATTGAACGACGAAGAAGCGTGAAGAGCACTAGTGAATTACCATGGAATGATTCACTGGTGCGGGAGCATCGAACCACGGAGAGTGCAAAAGACATGTTTGCAATGCAAGTAACAAGCCGGTAAGTTGTCCAAAGGATTTTTCGGGAGTTCCGCACCAGGAAAACGGATCGAAAGCAGCTGATAAGATATGGAACAAAAAGGGATACGTTGATGAGTGTATGGCGCTCTATATAGAACCTGTCTCAACTGAGAAAAGAATGTGGAGTTTACCGTTTGTGGGCGCTCTTTCCTCCACATGCTCCGCATTTTCTGCGAGTGAACGAAGGAAACGACCCAAGAAGTTAAAATTGAACTTTTTCGCAGGCTAGAGAGAGTAACGGAAAGAGAGAAGTATGCTAGTCGCTAGCAAAATGGAAGTAAATGTGATCCGGTGGCCTTGTATAAATGAGAACCGGCATCCCAAATGAAGATAACAGATTTCAAATGCTTCCTGACAGAGAAGACGAAAGAAGTGGACCCCATCGGCAAGATCCTTATGTAGAAAAAACTATCTGGTATTTCATGCAAACATGCTGTGGCCAGCTACAGTTCGTATGATATATGCATAGGTGATTTGATAGTCCAAAGTCGACTAGTTCGGCAACATTTAAATGCATTGCTTATTTAAAGTACAGCAACCATTGGTATAAGCTGACAGCCGAGACAGACTGAACGAAGGAGCAAGGAATGATATTAGTCCAAACGAAAGACTAGTAGGGTGGTACACTTTTCAAATTGTAAAAGTACTGCCAGTTGCCATGAGACAAATGGATCATCGTTGCGAGATCGTAAGATAAACAATGGGAGTAGAAAAGTGTTGTCAAAAAGCATGAACCGCGATTGCAGGAATGTAGACATCACGCCACATAGAAATGTTTCAGTGGTTAGCGTCGTAATCGAACCGGAGATAAACAGCATACACGATGTCCGACCACAATTGAAATGCGCGTAGAGCAACTGTATACAAGCAAGACCAGGCACTATCCAATCCAAATCGGTCAGTGTTGGGTAGAGAGAAGATAACAGAAGTTCACCTTCCCCCAGTATGTCAAAGGATGACAAGAAGCATTAGAGCCCCAGCCATAACTGTCACGCAACGTATGGGTTTTTGAGTGTGGTGATAACTCATTGAGGACCAAGAAAGTAAAGCAATAAATAAGAGGAGGCAAAATGCTACCCAATTGTAGTGAGGGTCATGGTCTCGTGCAGTTGTGAGTACACAACATCTGTGGTGCTCTGTGCCACAGTGTACTGAAAATATAGTTGTATGACCAGAAACATCAAAAAAACACATCGACGGAAAGTTACACGTAAACGTTGCACGCACATTGATCGCTTTCCGTGAGGTCAAACGTATGAGTTGATTTGAGGATGGTTCCGGGGGCCTTTCAATCGGCCGTTGCCTTTCCTCTGGAACATCACTCTCACTTTATCTGCTGCGGATTTACTAAATTTTGATTTTTGAAAAGGTACTTTGAGATACTACGCCTATCGCACGAAATTAGCAGAGGTACCTTAGGAAACCCTAGTCCGGATCGATAAACTTGTCTTCGAGTCTGTGCCGTTAACAGATTCGGGATTGTTCATTTTAGTGACGCTTGCACTCCTAATGCTACTTTTGCTGGTTGCGCAATTTTACATTTTTAATGATGAAATATTCGCAGTGGGTATTGTAAAATGCCGAAAATGTATCTTTCCGGGTATATAAAGTGCATAATGACTTATTGGAGGGACAATTTTGGATTACACGTTGTGTGATTGACTTAATTTGAAATCACATTGCGACTAGGCTAATGCAACCGGAACTGTTCAGGCACTGAGGGCTAGTGCAAAGTATTGATCGTGAATATCGTTCACATCTATTAAAGGTGGTGACCCAATTATTCCGTCTTCCCATTGACCTTTGTGTACAGTGTGCGCGCGGGGGGAGAGTGTGAACATGTGCAGCTGTGTGATTATTGGGAAGCCAGATTGTCGAGGACGGGTTCAACCCCCAACTGTGGCGGAACGTGCTAACTCAAGAAGGAGGACGTGTGCGAACGTCATATCGCCTACATTCAGAAGCTACATAATGACGCCAATTTTGACGACACATAACCAAGAGCCTCAACGACAAGATCTGCGATCGTGCAGTTCTTAATATTCATCAAAGATCTTCAGAGTGGAGATGAACGCCGCGTGGCCGATGATGGACAACACCAGATTCCACATATTAGACGATCTACGGGTTCGTCCTTCGTCGCACATCGTGTACAAGTCTTCAAATCGACGAGACGCCTGCTGACTAAACTGACGTCTGACCAGATGTTAAGTGCGGTTATGCAAGAACGTCGGAATGATAACGCAGTGGGTCTGTACCAATTGAGTCCTCAAAATCGCGGTGAACCATACAAAGGCAACAGTGGGAGAGCCTGTCTTCAACTGGCTGTCATCCGTGTCGTTAGTTCCCACATTGCTAATGAGTTGCTGATGCTCCACACAGAAAAGAAAATGTGTCCGGTACGGTTAAAAAAACGTGCCGATAGGCCTGAAAAATGCTTAACTCCATTGGAAAAAGATATCATTTTAAAGTGGATATATACGTTTATATTCCGCTAAGAAGGGTGGTGACAGTGAACCTAAGCACAGAGCATACATACATCGGTGGTGCGCGCTTTGTGTCTAAGGCCAACTAAACAAATCAGATTAGTTCTTAAGGCGACACAAACAAGTACGGCAGAGTACGGACAAAAACGCTACGACCAACCTCAGATGGAATAGCAGAAACCAGAGCCACCAGACAGGATCCCAGTTGGCCAATCCAAGCGTTCGACGCAAGTGTCGTCAGGAGAGAAGCCTCTTGGTGAAAAGCAGCGAACAGTTTATCCATCCGTTCGACCAGTGCAACCTCGTTTCTGTGTGGCAGCTACAAGTCGCTCAACAAAAGGAGAATGGAAATGGTTGCTTATGAAATACAAGCTGACAGAGAACAGCGCTGGTTAAATAAGTTGAGGTTCTTTAAGAAAAGGCATTCCACGCAATCCTCTCATATCAAGAACCACATCTACAAAAATAAACTAATTAAATGAGAACAGTAATCAGGATGGTGAGTTTGAGTGGCGTGAAATTCTTTGGCTACGAAAGCATCGCATTAGTGAGAAGCTTATGTTTGCGAAACAGCGGTCGAGACTAAATTCTGCTGGGGATTTGAAGTTGAATCAGAGGAACAGCCAAACATATCACAAGCAAAGTTGCTTCGAAGGTCTCTCATAACATGAGGCCCGTCATCGAAGTTTCAACCGACGACACTAGCTGACACCGTCGACGAATGACCTGGCATAGGTCTTTAGGTTGCGCGCAATTCAAGAGAATAAAATTGAAAGGAACAAAGCAGCCGAGCCGTGGGCCACATCGTGATTTTCTTTAGATCACTAGATGCAGCTTGAAAAATTGACACTCATGTAGACCAGGGACTCATTTTCCGAGGGGTGAATGGAATACGCCTAAAAACTATGAGTATACGTAGAGTTGGTGCAGTTGACAGCGCCAACAGTGACAACAATCCTGTCTCTAGGCAATGAACAACCCTCGTTAGTGCTACGACCTCAATACACCTGTATCCAGATTACACTCGAGTGATCATGAAAGGGAAGCATGTTGGGCGGGAAACAGCACTGGCTTGGGACAAAACGACAGCTCAGTAAAATGCGCACCGATCATGGGGTAGATGATTCGCTGATACAAATTGCCAAAATAGTGCGTACTCCGAACAAGAGGACCGAATTCGGGATGTACGCACAGTTTGTGTCAGTCTGGTTAGTGAGAATTCGCTACAGCAGTCCTCGTAAAAATGGATATAAACAAGAAACGAACGCGAAGCAACGGTCAGACAATAAACCGTTCCATGATAGAAACCTGCTAAACTTAGCGGTTTCAAGAGATGGAATGCCAGTTCCCCTAATTGGGCCAGTGATCGAGAGGCTACTATCGGACAAGCGGTGCAGCGCACCATACAGAGAATACTGCGGCTCAGGAATAAAGTGATAATTGGTTGGCAAAACGGGGAGCAAAATGGTAACAGCAGCGATGCGACCAGTATTAAATTTGCTGTATGAGTGTTTATGCTTAGCAATACAAAAGGGAGCTTGGGAAACAAGACGAACCTCAAAGCGAGTGGATTCTTGTCCTCTGGCCCGAAAATTCGACTCAAGTGATGGAGTGGGCCCAACAAACCAAAATGGAAACAAAAGCATGGCATACACAGTAGAAAGATCTGCGGTTATCATCGGATCGCCTTCGCAAATCACATGTTCCGTGGTGATGAAGTGGGTCAGACGATCCGCAAGTTCATTCCAAAATCGCAGAGCAGCCGGACAGTAAACCAAAGAAGGGGCTGCACAAAATGGAAGATGAGCATAGAGTTTACGGAGTGGATTTAAAGCAGAAAGTAAATAACGGGCAATAAGTGGAGAGAAGATAGATATGACTATGCAGCGTTTAGGGAATCTCCTTTGGGTGGAACACGTTCTATGAATGCACAATAAACTCCACGGAGCAATTTTTCTGAACAAGAAGGCTCTGTAACAATTACTGATAGTTAAGGAATTTTTGTTCAATGCGATGCAGTCTTGATTAGTAAAAAAGCAACAAAGGAGACAGTTGAAACAAAAACGTCCATCGACTAAAAGACATTTGCTTCAACATGAATCGACGACCGTGAAAGCGAAGACGGGTAGTCCGAATCTTACTAAAAAAAACTGCGTAATATGGGACAAGTTAAGAAATTGGACAAACCAACGAGATACACGTGGGTAGACAAATTCTACTGAAATTAAGATACAACTTGGGGTCGTGAAAAACAAGCGACTGTGCAACTAGGAACAAGCGCTGATAGAAAAGTGCAACCGATAAAAAGTGATGAAACGATATCATCATCATCATCATCGTTATGCACGTTGGCTAAAGGTGCAAAACACCTCATCTACCGTGCCGCAATATCAGCATTCCGGTGTAATGAAAAGCTGCAAACAAAATCACACAACTTGTGAAACGACGAGGCCAAGAAAAGATAAAACTAAGTTGGCGCACTGTGCATTAGGAATTCGATCTAAATGGCTTCCTAACGGTTCAGTGGATTGTACAAGGCGGTGGAATTGCAAAAATAACGACTCTAGGCTGCTATACAAAAGTAATAAAAATGCGAGTAAATGTACATTGTCGATGGAAGAGTTTGAAGGATGAACATGTGAACACGAGCCTGTGGTCAGGTAGCCGGATCAGAAATTTGTGGCTTAAAGTGAAGGAAACGGAGGAAAGACCCATCTGTGTACCAGGTTGCTGGAACACAAAGTTAACTGGTAGCATTTAAAGAGTGAATTTCCGTCACTTGATAGATCAGGAAAAGGCTCAGCTAGGTGATCGCAGAATGAGGTACATATGAGCTGGAAATTGCAAATGTCTGAGACCTTCGCACTCCACTCAGAGGGCTTGTCGGCGAAAGATCGCCATTAGTCAAAAAGTAGCCGCAGAGAGAGGACAACAAGGTGGGAGGAGGATGTTCGGATTACGAATCACACAATTAAAATAAAAGTTACTACAAGTGCTGTTCAAAATATCTACGAGGGACAGAGAAGAGTGACAGTGCACACAAAACATTCATGGTGAATGAAGCAGATAAATGCAGAGACTTCGACGATCGAGTTCATGAGTCAACAAACAAACAAACAAACAATGATCGCCAAGAGTGCGGAATGCATCGGGCAGAAAGAGTATGTTGCTGTACACCTGGCTATCGAGTAGGTGTGGGACGAACACCTAGAGGTCATGGAATAATACAAACAGGAAATATAATAAGCCATTGAACTGGCAACAGATTCGTGTGGGCTCATATGAAAAGGGAAAATGTAGGGTACTATTAAAAAACCCGCGAGCGGATGCAGTTGGGACATACACCGCGAGAGGAAAGGACAGCAGCCAAAGAGAAGTTGACCGTTAAATTATTAGCGATAAAAAGTAGACTTCGAGAACACATACCACGAGAGAATAATGAACCAAGGGAAGAATTCTGCGAGACCTGATCGCAAGATGTTGCCAAACGAACACTGTCTGGTAGCAGAGAAGTTAGGAGTCGCCGGAACAACGGAAGAAACGCAGAGTCCAAATTCCATGATTCTGAGAATGACGAGCCACTCGTGGCTTCAAAGACATTCAGGCGTGAATTACACGATATCAGACGGGTTGTAAGGTCAGACCATTGAGTCCAAACGCTGGGGAAGAAACGAAGAGGATCGATGAGCGAATTGATAGTGGAATAATATGAGCATATTTTGTATGCATCTGATGTAGCATAATACATACGGTGTAGAAGCTAGGGGACATGAAGTGAAAGCAACCGGCGAGAAACAGCAGACAATGCCGAGTCATTGTCAGATATCTAGGAACATACACATATACATGCTCTGGGCCACTTAAGCAAGAAGCCACTAAAGCGGATTTGGCAAAAATACAAAAGAGTAGGATGTGGAAAGTGCTTCCTCTCTAAGTTAAGCATGAATCCAAAAAAGCAAGCAGCCTGTGTAGAAAAAAAATGGAAGCATGGAATCACTAAGCAGGTGCCATATGTGACAGGCGGTTATGTGGAACAGATCGCAGCGAAACGACGCCCACAATATTGCGGGAACAGAGTTACCATGCCGGTCACAAATAACCTCACCAATATATGTTGAGAAGCAGTTCCATTTAGAAGTTAATTAAAAACCTGTTTACTAACGCTAGTGTGTATCCTAAGTGCAAAAGGTACATAAAATCCTGCATGAGAACCATAGAGAGTTGATGTATAAGGTAGACAAACTAGCAGGTTGTCTATGGTAAACATGGTCCAAAAATCCGCTGCGCATGCAGGACAAAAATAGCATACCTTTCTGGTTGTGCATCCTTTGGAGTTTCGGCCATTTCAGTTATCCATAGATTCCCCAATTCGTTAGACTTCAGTAACAGATCGGTGACTAGATCCATCTGAACAAAAAGTAAGGGTGTGGCAGTGGTGCACGTTTTGATGTGAGGTAGCTCAACTCTAACAGGGACGGTAGATGCACGTACTGGTAGATCGTACAAGTTACATCCAAGTAGAGGAAACTCACTTTGTCCTGTTCGGGGGCTGTACACTCCCGTGTTAGATTGAAAACTTCCTCAAGGATATTCTAAGTGGAAAAAAGAAACAAAATGTTCAACAGAGAATCTGAGGTATGGACCATTAGAACAGAATAATAAGACGGGAACAGTAGCCGTATGACAGGGGCAAAAAGAGGAGACAAACACGAGTTATCTATTTGAAAGAACGGTTTGCACTGGGTATCCAGAAGGAAACGGTCGGATATGTAACGGTGTTGATGAGTGGAGTAAAAAGGCTAATCTCGGTAAAGTTGCTTCGACAAGTGAGCTGCACGGCCGCTAAATATTGGCAGATTGAATGATATGACATTCAGGGTAGTGCTCGGGAACCTATGGACTTCAGTCGGACCATTCCAGTTCAAACTAACTCAATACGCTTTCGGTGATACTCCGTACCTTCGTCACGGGTTTCCATAGTAGTTTTATTCTGTGAACGACGAAGCATTATGACCTGTTATTCATATTTTCACCCATAGCCAATGGTTAGCTATGTAGTATCCCACCGGAGGATCGCTTCTAAAACTGCCCAATGGTAAACATATATTGGTTCATACGAGCCAGCATGATGTACTTTATTAGCTCAAACTAAGATGAAAAACTGTGTGACTGCAGGGATAGCTTGAGTGTGGACACTCGGGTACGTATCGGTCGTTTCATGCACGTTATCTGAGACTGGAGATTACGTACCAAACTGCATCAGGACCATTGCGTACACAAGTGTGGGAAGATTTACACAAACATGTCCTAGGTAGACCGTTTGACTAGCTGAAAAAGGCGCATGCAACCAGATGATATTCAGCCCACCTTATGTGCCAAATCGCTCTGAGCCGGATCAAACGAGCGTCCGACAAGCGGTACCTCGCGTAAACTAGAAATGAACCAAAGCAATGGTGCACCAAACTGATACCGACCATCAATGTAAAAAGAAGTCGTAGCTACGGGGACTAGCCCTGTCCTCTGCACGTCCAGAAGTTGCATGAATGTGGAGGCCCGGAAGTGAACCGACCACTGGTTGCTTCGGCCGGGCTGTATGCCTCCGGGCGCGTCCCCATGTTGCGGATCAAGGAATGCCTTTTTTGCAGAGGTAACGGTAAATACATCTCGGCTGTTCGCACTCGAGATGAATAAGCAGTCGCGGATAGCCAAAGCAGCATCCTAGAGCGTGCATGGTTCTGGGCTTGTCACCTGGCTCTTCATTAAATACCACACGAGATCGTAAAACGCAGTGTCAAAGCCAATGTTACCGGCTATATGGTCAATGACCACACACTTCTGGTCACAGAAATGACCCAAGGCTACGAGTGGAGTCCCATAACCCCTTAACGCCGTATGTGGCGAACGCGACTCAAACCATTTCTTTCACAAATGCAACTTACAGTGCACATATTTTCCCTCAGTGGCGGTGTGCGCATTTTTATGACGTACATTGGATTCTATCTGTATAACAGTTCACTGCATTGTGCGTTTCATTTGAAGTTACAGCTACTTGAAAGTAGTGAGTGAAAACGTTGATTTGACGTGAATTTCGATGCATAACTTCGAGGACATGTACAAAATTGGAAGTAAGTTATGCGGAATGAAAAACTATTTACTCGCTTATTGTTCACTGTTACTAATAATTTAGCAGAATTGATTATTCGAGATGGAAAGTTTAGTAGTGATTACCAATAGTATACTATGTTCCTTTTTCGCTACATTCGGCGCTATTGGTAGCATATGCAAGATACCGAGTTTGAGTTCATTGCCCTATAAACGAAATTCCTGTGCATAGATTACAATTTTTCAGTCTCTATCGAAACCAAAGGTTAGTGGTTAACTAAAAAATGGTTCCATTCAAAGGGAGGTCCAGCCCGAAGCAACCTATTTCCAATAAACTTTACAAATGGGGATACAAGGTCTACGTGCAATGCAAAGGACTTGAGCACTCATTTGATAGTTTCACAGGGAAAATCGATCCCGTTCCTGGTGAACCTGACATCGGTGCAAGTGGAAACATTGTGATGCACAAGTTATTCGGGCCAATGTCGACACTTCGCTATATTTTATAAACCTCTTTTCTTCTTGCTTTTATTTGTTGTGCTTGCGCGGAAAGGATTACCAACCCTAGGGACAGCACAGCAAAATCGCCTACAAGAGTACAGTTTCAGTGAAGACGCGGAAATGTAGAAGAAAGGCAGAGGGACATGCGAAGAAAAGACTAATTGTTAACAACGTAGAAGCAAGGGTTGTCGAGTGGTTTGACAACAAAGCAGTTTTTGTTGCCAACATTTCTACCAGTGCTCGGCAAGTTTGTAATATTGAAAGATGGGACGGAAGATTGAAAGCAAAAGTATCTGTGGAGTGTACAAGCGTCATCAATCTGTATAATAAGTTCATGGGTATTGTTGATGCTCTGGATGCACTGAATGCTTATTGTCGGATACATATCAAGTCCTGAAAATACTACCAAAGGTTATTTTCCACTCTGTTGACATGGTATCAATCAACTGCTGCTTACTCTATCAATTTGATAGCGACTCACTGCCTGTGACTCTACAGAAGCAGAAAAACTTGCTTGCTTTCAGGTTACCCAATGCAGTGGCACTCCTCATGCAAGGCATAGAAATGTCGAACAGGGGACGGCATTCATTATCAAACGAAATGAACTCAAAAGTAACGAAACGCCGGTGTCCAGCTAGGAGTATTCCATCATAGAAAATCGGGTCAGATTCTGTGGGTTACTGGCCAGTAGTTGATAGTGCATGTCAAGGGTGCAAAGGCCCAAATTGTCAGCGCCAGACAGTGATGAAAGGGAAAAAGTGCAATGCGTACCTGTACCTCAATAGGAAGAGGAATTGCTTTAGGGAATTTCACGAGTAACATAGTCTCTTTTTAGTTGACTTTGATAGTTACAATGCATTTGTTGTAACTTAGATGGTCGACAGGAGGAATGGATCAATTGCCGCATCAATAAAACAATTATACAGACCAGAGAGAAAAATTTGTTCATTAGCTATTTGATACATAACTGCCGGAGGTCGTGATTTTACATCATACCTAAGTTTATATGTCAAACGTGTTGTACATTCAAAGTATCACCATCTAAATTAGCATCCGCATGTTAGTGAAAGCACAAAGAATAAATGTTTAAACACTGCAAAAGATATTCGGCTAGAATGAGTCGGCCTGGGCAACCGAGAAGCATCATGCCCACACAACCCAAGGATCCATGTCTCAACAATTCTTCGCTCGCTCTCGCCACTAAATCTATCTACTCTCACCCTCTGGAACTGCTCTCCTCGGCGGAGGTGTTGGCGGCAGAGCCTGTCAAACCATGTTTTATCGCACCACTGTTTAACCACTTTACTCCACGTTTGTTCAACTCCCAATCATTTTTAGCTTTGAGCTTCAGTTTCCGAGCCAAGAACATCGTGCCGCCTTGGGCGAGAGTTTTCGCCATACCGATCAGGAGATTGGGTCCGAGGGTGCGCCGTCAAGTAGTGCTGCCAAGCTTTTCTAGCTCCCAGTTCCCAACTCAAGCTGACATCTAATGTTCGTACACAGATGCAAATCGGATCACTGGCAGCCCTTGCTCGCACTCTAGAAACTAAGGCGGTTATTGTCTACATCCTCACTGAAACCCGATTACAGGACTTTAGCAGGACGCTACAACTGGTTTCGCCATCTGCGGGTTCCACTGGCATTTGCACATTTCGCCTATCTGGAGACCCAACCGCCGAAGCCGCTAGTTATGCTGGCGTGGGGATTGTGTTGAGCACAAGTGCTAATACCGCGCTACAAGACTGGATCCCTGTCAACAATCGACCATGCGCCATGCGACTTGAAACCTCAATGCGACTGTCCAGGCGTGAAGCGAGCGGACGCTGTCTTTTCATTGTCGCAGCGTATCCTCTCACAGACGGCAGCCCAGAGTCAGTTAAAAGCGAGTTCTATGCTCAAATGACCGACAATCTCCGTAAATATTGTCGCACCGAGATCGTGGTATAGGCCGGGGGTCTGGGCGCGTAGGTCGGTAGACTTGAAGTTGACGAACGTGAATTCGGTGGTCAACACGGCCATGACATTCGCAGAATAGACATCGGTGATGGTCTACTTCAGCTTGGCACCGATCACGGCCTCTTTCTGTGGGGCAGCGGCTTTCAGGGAATCTGGCCAGCCATATACGCAAATCAACCACATTGCCATCAGTTACCGTTGGCGGGGCTGCATACAGGATTGCAAATCAATATGGAATAACGAACTCACCTCCGTCGCAACGAGACTTGACATTAACGTGGTGCGACGATTAGCGTACCTCCTTGACCCGTTGAGCTATAATGGATGGCACCCCCGGGCCCCTTGAGAACTACACCTACCAGATTGGTCATTGGCGAGAGGTCAGACAAACTCAGTCTCTTGGTCCTCCAAGTTGCGGGTTAAAATGGAATGGCGTCCATTTCTGTAAAACTAGATCATTGACACCTTCCCGCTGCTCTGCGGACAGGCTTTTGAGCCAAAGCCTTTGATTGGGGACCCTAATCGTCCTCCTGTCTAGGTTTGGGCACCCTGACAGTATCTCAGTCCCTATACAAGTATAACCTTTTCTTCAAACATAAACTTCATGCTGCATCGGTCGTCACGCAGATTATAAAGGGTCGCCTTATCTGCTGTATATAGCAGGGCGGATAAGCTAAAACGTGTTAATGCTGGCGCCCCTTTTTCTTTTCCACCTGTTTCTCCTACTTCCCACCTACTCCCCATTACTAGCCTTCTATAATTTCTAGTTTAATTGATAGTAACCGCGATGTCAGTGTAGTCCTACAATCTGCAGCAATGTTCCCACACTATCCACCGGACACCAATCGCCAATAGCTCCTTTTAAGGTTACACTGTCCCGTTTCCCAGGCGACGTTCAAGGTTCGCACTGTTAGACAAATAAGTCAACAGGCTGCAGTCGCACGCACGTTAGACACCCTGGGTATTGATATGTGTTATGTGTTCGAAAGTAGTTGTTGAATTCACTGCGCCCGGTTTGTCCTCTTGCTATTGGTTGCACGCATCCGGAGATGTTGATGCGGCAACCAGTGGTCAAACTGGAGTGGGCATTGTTCTCAGCTCCAAAGCGGAGTCATGGTTGATTGACTGAATTCCCGTGAGCATCAGTTTGGGTGGAGCCCGTTTGATGATATCAACTAAGGTTGATTCACGAAGCAGCAGTAGACGGTGTTTGTATGTGGTTTTCGCTTATGCCCCCACCGATTGCAGCTCTGATGCTGCGAAGGACACTTTCTATCACGAACTGAACACGTCACTACGCTGTGTTACCAGTTATGATATTATAGTACTTGCAGGGGATATGAACGCACAACTAGGGCGTCTGAGCTCTTCAGAAGCTCAGCTGGGTGGTAATTATGGGTTTAACTCCGAACGGACTGACAACGGTGAGCGCCTGTTGCAACAGTATGCGAAGCATCAGTTGTTTCTTAGTAGCACTGGTTTTAAACACAGTTGGCGCCGAAGTGCCACTTGGCGTCCTCCTGTAGCTGGCCAGCGATGGACCCAAATTGATCCCATTGCCATAAGTTACAGTTGGCGTGGTTCCATCCTGGCTTGTCGCTCGTTCTGAAGTACTGGCGTCGACACTGATCATGCCTTGATACGCTGCCGTTTTCCCATGACCCTCAACGGGAAGCGTACGAAGCGCCTCCCTCGATTGGCAACTGAGGTTTGACCCAGTCCGTTCACCACATTGCAAGCTATTGGAGGCGATCAAACTGTGGAACGATTGCACGACCACAGCAACACCGGTTTTGCATAGCATTTCACCAGCACCATCGGCAAAAGCGAAACATCAGAGGTTACTTATTCAAAGTGAAACTGCCCAAGTGGTGGACATTGTATCCACATCCGCCTACTGGCTTCTGCCAAATGGATCACATCTGTTGACCCAAGAGCGCTACGGTCGAAGGGATATGCGCAACGAGCAAACTCCAACAAGTTGGTGGTTCCAGCCGTCAACGTGGTCAGACAGAAATACAGTGCGGTAGTCCATATGGCATTTATCACAATTGGACCGATACCGTGTCTGTGCCGGCGTAAAGAAGCAGGAAATATGAGAAAGACACGGAAAAATGCGCCGTGTAAAATATGTACAAACCAAAATAAGAAAGAACAATCGCTTTCACGGTCACCTAGAGTTGCTGACTAGAACCAAGCCAGGCAGATAGCTATTTGCTGGGACACAGGAAGATGTCTACGGCTGAGCAAAAGGAGACGCATCCGATCTCAGCGTTCATCCTGCATCGAATGGACAATGTTCGAAACAGCAAGTAAACTGCGACTAAGGGGTTCGAAAAAGACGCGAACTAACGAGAGACAAGGTGGACGAAGAGCCGCTAAGAGGACTGAGAAGCAGTAGACTATGCGACTGATCTAATAACAGCAATGAATGTAGGCTCGTGTGGAGTCTATTAATGCGAAGTGAGCACAATACAGATGAAGTTAAGGATGGCATTCTCAAGGGTTCAAAAGCACGGTACACGCAGATTAGATGATTATGTGACATCCGTTGAAGTGCGCATTTTGCGCACGTTATGAGGGTCTGTGCTATCATAGTGAGTGCAGAGAGACTTATTAGTCTCCACTTGCAGGTTTCTTATAATATATGAGATTATGAAGTGACCAGCGGGCAAGGTGACGCAAATAAAACCTTGAGTATTGATATACACACGACGTTTCACGATGGAAATTATATGGCAGTCGCACTGTATCGATTATGCAATAGACAAGAGAGCTAATGTGCCATTTTGCATCCATGCATTGCAACTTTGTCCTGTGCAATCGTTTCAGTAGAGTAACTTGAAAGGGAAAAATTCAAAAGCAGTGAGAAAAGGAGTAGGTGTAACTTACCAAACATGCGACTGAAGAAGGGAGGACGGGTCGATAAAGCTCCTTTGATTCAGGATCACAGATTAAAGGAGTGGGAGTGAGAAGATGACACGTACAGGTGACCACATATTGGATGGCCATCCGAGAGACGGGCTGGGGAGTATTATTGACAACAGAAGGTGATCGCACAGCCAGAAACTGAAATAAGAAAGTGGCAATGGACGTAACGAATAAAAGCATTGCTAAACAGTATGAAGCACATTGGGTGTTAAGTTTGAGGAGTTTTTCCGGACGTATCTATCTCAGGCGCTTTGTACAAATCTGGCAAAAAAGCGGTGGGCAAATAGGAACTCAGCTTGCGCACGCCAACCGGAGACATTCACACAACAGCTAGATTCGAGGCACACGATCAATTTGACAGGGTGACCGCGAAGTACCCCAAGAATCTACATGATGTAGATCTCCAGCGGGACGAGACGAGATATTAACGTGGTGCGAGGGCTTGTGTGCCTCGACGATCCATTAGCCTATGCTGAGTGGTGCATTTGCATATTCAGAACCACTCAGATCAGGTTAGTCAATGATTGGAGCCAAGACAAACTGTCTCCTGACACTCCAGGTTGGGGGGTTGGAGTGATTGTGGCTCCTTACTTCTCAAAAAAGGAACGTTCAGTAGTCAAGTACCCGCTACTTAGCGGCCAGGTTTTTGAATCAAAGTCCGCTTGAGAACCATAATCGCTCTCCTGTTTAGGCCTGCGCAATCTGACGGTATCTTGCTAAGGTAAAACAACAAACTGACTTTCCCTTCAAACAATTTCATGATGAGCTCGTCTTCGCAGAGTAAAACCAACGGGGCCATTACTGCTGCATCGAAAGGGATAATCATCAGCATCGCCATTAAACGTTAGCTGAAGGTGGAAAACACCTCAGCTATTGTGCCGCAACACAAAAGACAAAAAAAGAAAACAAACAGTGGCAAGCCCGCTGAGTCCCCAGTAACGGATGGACATCGTTCCGGAGAGCTAACAGCTGGCTGCCGTAAAAGAGAGTCATATTATGCCCAACAAGTGAGATCGTGATTGGAGGGGGATGCTAAGCAGGAGGGGGATGGACAAAGGAACTCACAACACAAACGCCATTGGGGCCGGCTCCAAGCCATGTCAGCAAGTGTGTCCAAGCAAACGTGTTCACCGTCCTTAGGACCCCAGCCAGGCAGTCGGGATGTACCAACCGACACCAACATCGAAGTGAGGGTTTTCATTTCTCTCGACCAAGTCATCACTTGGCCTCCCCTCCTCCTCTTCCAACCGCACCCACAACGCGCAAACAATGCACGTCGCGGGAATCGGTGTGCTGGTATGCGCAACACGTGATATAATGGTGCTGACTGGTTCCCTAGTTCTTTCTGCACCAAATACGCGACGTCGAACACGCTCACTGCTCACGCGGTGCTCCCACCAGACATGAGCTAGGCTGCGAAGGCAGCGATGATCGAAAATGACGAGCCCCTTCATGTCTGTCGACCTGATGGGCCAGGTTTTACAACCATATAGGAGAGTTGAACGGGCGGCTGCGTTGTAAACTTTGCCCTTCAGGGCGAGAGTAATGTCGAGTCTGCGCCACAGGTGGCGGAGATTGGCAAAAGCACCTCGAGCTTTTGCCATACGGTTCGTAACTTCATCTTCAATCCCACGGGTGCTAATATAGTTGCCCAGGTACTTGAATTCCCGAACGACTTCTAGCAGATCACCACCAAGCGTTAGGGCAGGGTTGGGTCCCTGCCAATCTTGGAGAAGTATTTTGCATTTCGCTGGAGCTAAGCCTAGCCCAAAACGATTGACAGCCAGTGCTAATCGGTCCAGTGCTGTTTGGCATGTTTCGGAGCTGTCACAGAGTAAGGCAATATCGTCCGCATACTCCAAGTCAAGAAGTCGCTCCACACCTTCTAGGTCGTGTCCAGCGAACGCTGTTTCCATGACTTCATCAATAGCGAAGTTGAAGAGGAAAGGTGACAGCGGGCAACCTTGTCCCATACCGCTGTTGATAATGAAGGGTGGCGACAGTTTGCCATAAACTCTCACCCTGCCTGAACTATGCGCGTACAGCGCTTTGATAATGTTTACATAGTTATCAGGCACACCTTTCCTCAACAGACCGTCCCAAAGGGCACATCGATCGACTGAGTCGAAGGCCCTTTTATGTCAAGAAACACGACAACGGTGGGTCGCCAATAAACATGCAGGTGCTCCAACACTTGACGCAAGGTAAAGATGTGGTCGATGCAGCCCCGACCTCGACGAAATCCGGATTGCTCTTCACGAATCTGGCTTGAACGAGTGCCAGTCAGTCTGTGGAGAATGACGGAGACAAGAAATTTAGAGTCAATCGAAATCAGACTGATTCCTCTATGATTGCCGCATTCCAAACGGGATTTTCCCTTGAAAATTGGGACAATGACGGAGCGGTTCCAGTCTGTCGGGACTGTCTCCTGCTCCCAAAGTTTTACTAGCAACTCATGTAAGTTATCTACTAGAGCATGTCCCCCGAATTTGAAGAGGGCTGGGGGAATTCTATCTGCCCCTGCGGCCTTATGAAATTTCAACAGCCTGATCTCACGTTCGACTTCTGCCCAGGGAGAAGGCCGCTCAGTGCCCGATGAAGAAAGCGATAACGCAGGTTGGTTAAATTGCCTTGCAAAGTGTTCAACCCAACGCTCCAAGCGTTTTGACAGGCTGTGGATCGGCTACCCACTATCGTCGCGTATGGTCTCCCTAACACCAGGTCTCCTGCTGCCTGTTTCCCGTATCAGACGGAATAACTTAGGACGATTACCAACGGCATCGGCTGTTTCCATTTCAGAGGCACGATGAGACCACCAAGTTTCGCGGTCCTTCTTCAGGCTAGCCCATAGTTTTGCCTTGAGATTTTTGCAAGCCTCAATGTACTCGCTTCCAGCCGGAATACGTCGGGGAGCATCTATAAGTTCCAGAGACTGTGTAGAGACCCAATGTCCGGTTTGGCAATTTGCTTTGCCACATGAAGACATGTCTGCTAGCAGCAACGCTTGAAGAATATGCGACCAGTGATCTTCAACGGTGTTTAATGAGCGCTTACTCAGCCCAGATGTCAGCGCACTTTGGTACACATTCAGAACATCAGGCTTCGCCAGCTGGATGGTGTCAATCCGTTCACATCGACGTTGCGGACGTCCACCGAAAAGCACCAGGAGGTCGGCACAGACAAGTGCGTGGTCAGAGTCCACGCTCATGCTCCAAATCGAGCGACAGTTTTGGACACAGCCCATCCAGCGGTAACTGATCGCGATATGATCGATTTGCGTCCATGGCTGGCCCGAGGCTGGTGGCCGCCAAGTCACGCTTATGCGGGTGCTGTGTCAAAAGTTAGTGCTCGCGAGAAAGAGGCGAGCATCTTCACACAGCTGTAGCAGTCCCTCACCATTATCATTACGGGAGCCTACACCATGTTGGCCGCCCAGATGAAGCTCATCAGAGGAAAATTTTCCCGTTTGGGCGTTTAAGGCACCAGCCAACACCATAGTATCCGTGCTCCTTCTGTAACGAAGGAGCTCGTGAAGTTGCAGATAGAAATCATCTTTTACCGAATCAGTGCTACAGTTTGTGGGGGCGTAGACCGCAATGATAAACAGGCACCGTTTGTCCTCGCGCGACTTCGTAGCACGGAACGAACCAGCTAATCTAACGGCGCCCATCCTACTATTTACTGGGATCCAATCAATCAGGGCAGCTTCAGCCCGGGAACTCAAAACAATGCCGACGCCAGCTTGACCGGCATTTGAATTTACATCATCGCCAGACAGGCGCAATGAGAATGTGCCGCCAGTTTCGCATGTGGGGGATCTCAGGGTAAGCACGGAGCTGGAACTTTGCAGGCGGGCTTCTGATAAACAGCAAATATCAATCGAGAGGGTCTCTAATGTGCGGGCAAGTGCTGCCTGTTGGTCAATCTGCAGCAAAGTGCGCACGTTGAGGCACGCCAGTCTTAGTGAGACACGAGGACTCCAAAGGGAGACGGATGAACTGACATTGTCCGCTTGGTTGAACATGAACTTGTCGACTGGATTGAAGCGAGGCCCTGCGATTGTGTGTGATTTGAAATTAGAAGACAAGCGACTATTGAAGCAAGCTGGGGGAGGGCCCAGAATTGGGGGGTTGAAAATGGGGGATATAAGTAAAGTTGGAGCGGGACGATAAGGATGAAGAAGTGCAAAGAGGGGTATAAGAAGATGGGAAGGCTTGAGCGGTAGCATCCAAACCCCTATCCACCCTGCTCGATGCAGCAGATATGGCACCGTTGATTATCCTCTACGGTGGCCAGAGCATCAAGAAACTATTTGACGAATGATTCATCGCATTGCGTGGGCAGGATACTTTCAGGTTGCTTAGGCCTAGACAGAAGAACGATTAGGGTTCTCAACCCAAGCGTTTGGTTCAAAAACCTGGCCCCAAGTCAGCGGGTTTGGCGTTGGGCTACAAGGTGTTCGTTTTAAGGAATGAGTCACCTCGTTCCAACCCCTAACCTGGAGGACCAGGATGCTGAGTTTGTCTGGCCTCTAACCATTGACCAATCTGGTATGAGTGGCTCTGAAGGTGCAAAAAAAGCACCACCCAGCATAGCTCAATGGATCTCTGAGGCACGCAAACCATCGCACCACGGTAAGGTCCAGCCTCATTGCGATGGAGTGAGGATGCAACTGCTCAGACCTTACAGTCTTCCTATTTCCAATTCAACACTCCTTCATCATTATCGTAACGTACCAAATTCGTTTGTATCCACCCTATTTTCAACCACTAGATAGCTGGCCTCCCCTCGCCTTACTTCGACAACCGCTAGTCGCTAGTTTCGACTCACACGCAATCGCAGCGCATCGCTCCGACTAAGTCGACCACTACATGTTCAATCAAACAGACGTCAGCCCATTTGTTTTTATTTGGAACCTCTAATCCTCACCAAGAATAACATGCCTCCACGTATGCGCGCTGTTACACACTGGCCAACCGGCAACACTTTCCAGAACATTACGATTTGAGCTTCGTGCTCTTATGTGACAAGGGCGGTACTTTCTCATTGCGCTTGTCTAGGGATGATGGAGCTACAAGCGTCAGTCAAGCCCCTGTAGGCATTGTTCTGAACCCCTGGGCCGAAGCTGCCTTGATCGACTGCATCCGAACAGCCGTCCGACTGACTAGATCGTTCAAAGCTTCGAAATCGTGCCGGGGCCAATAAGTACATACGCTACAACAAACTGTAGCGCTGACTAGGTGAAAGGGAGCTTCTATCACAAGCTGAACGCGCTCCTTCATCACAGAGCCAGTAGGGATCCGTGTTTCTTGATGGTGATCTGAATGCCCAAGTTGGAAAAGTCCACTGATGTGCGACATCTGGCCAACCAACACGGTGCAAGTTCCGATGACTAGAACCATGAGCGGTTGCTACACCTGTGTGAGTATGAGTATCTATTTCTTGCGAGCACTAACTTCCGACAGAGCACTCACAGAAGGGTAACATGATGTTCACTAGCCTCAAACTAGCCATGAACGCTAAGTAATCACATCGTGATCAGTTACTGCTGGAGAGGCAATGTTCAAAACTGCCGCTCGATTTCGAGCATAAGTGTGGACTCCAAACCTGCATTTGAATGAACCGATCTCCGAGTTCAATTCCGCAGACGCATGATATGAGGCTATGACAGCGTAGACATTAGATAACAAACGAAACCAGGTGTTCTAAATGCGCATCAAAGTACGCTGGCATCCGAGTTGAGTAAGCACTCACAGAACCCAATTGACGGCAACTGGCCACCATACGTGATTAGCAGTTGGTACGTTTCTTATGGCAAATCGAATTGCCAACCTGGACATTGGATTTCCACGCAGTCCCTGGAAAATCTAGATGCTCAGCGACGCATTCCGGCTGGCAGCGAATACGGTGACTCACAAAGATCTGAGAATAAAATGTGTGTCAGCCTAAGAAGAGACCATGAAATCTTGTGGTCTTAACGCGCATAGAAGATAAGAATAGCTGCCGCCCTTAGTAACTTTTGGAAGTGATTCCGTCAGATATGGGAAACGGGCATCAGAAGACCCGATGTTAGCGAGGCTACAGGCGACGAGATTGGATAGCCGATCCACAGATTATCAAAACACTTGCAGCTATGAGCCAAACATTTAGAAAAGCTGTTTAATTAGCCCGAGTAACCAACCAAATTCATGCTGGAAAGAAAACAAATGTGTTGCCCATCGTGACCCGGTAGCCAAGGGGGTAGTAGTGTTGGCTGCTATTCCAATGATCGTGGGTTCAAATCCTGCTGTCTCCACCTGATGAGATGAAATTACATCGAAACGCGTCGTGGCTGTGCAGTGTTTTCGGGTGGGCAATACCCAATTTCCATCTACTTTGAATACGGTCCCAGCGATCGCAGTGACTAAGGTTCATTTCAATGTGAATCACAGTCCATTACATGGAGGTTGCGTGTCGCAATCCAATCACACAACGTGTAATCCAAACTTGACCCTCCAATTAGTCATCTACCGTTGTGACAAAATGTGTTGCCCATCGTGACCCGGTAGCCAAAGGGGTAGTAGTGTTGGCTGCTATTCCAATGATCGTGGGTTCAAATACTGCTGTCTCCACCTGATGAGATGAAATTACATCGAAACGCGTCGTGGCTGTGCAGTGTTTTCGGGTGGGCAATACCCAATTTCCATCTACTTTGAATACGGTCCCAGCGATCGCAGTGACTAAGGTTCATTTCAATGTGAATCACAGTCCATTACATTGAGGTTGCGTGTCGCAATCCAATCACACAACGTGTAATTCAAACTTGACCCTCTAATTAAAACAACTGTTCGCTTAAAGCTTCATGTTTTGTTTCTCTTTCTGAACTTTCTTGTCGATCAGTGATCACCCATCTCCCTGGGATAGTTACCTTGGATTCACCCTCTGGCGCAGAATTTGTATGTGAGGTCGGACTGCTGAAGTCGAATAAAGCCACATGAACAGATGAACTCTCTACAGTCCTCTTCAAATTCGGGGGACATGAGCAATTACTGAAACTGTGGGAGCAGGAAAATGTCCCAACAGACTGGAGCTGCTCTGTAATAGTTTCAATTTTAAGGGGAAGCTCAAGTGCAGAGTGCGGCATCTGACGTTTTTCATAGACTTACATGTGCCTGAAAAAACCAGATTCGCGAGCACCATGCAAAGTTTCGTCGAAATCAAGGCTGCATTGAACACGTCTTCACCGGTCCCAATATTGGATTACCGTCACATATACTTGCGGCCCACCGTTGTGTTCCTCGACATCAAAGGTGCCATCGATTCAGTGAATCGATGTGCCCTTTAGGACTGTCTGCTCAGGAAAGCTGTGCCCAAGAAACATACTAATGTGATAAGATCGCTTTACGCGCGTAGTTCGGCCAGTGACTGCTTATGGCAAAGTATCAACGATCTTCAATATCTCCAGCGGTGTAAGACAAGGATGCCCGCTGTCATCTATCCTCTTGAACTTCGCCTTAGCTGTTCGTAGCATAAGCCAGTGCCGTGAGTGATCGTTGCACAATGCCAACATCCAGAGGATAAGCGGCGTGGAAACAGACAGGCGTACTCAAGCAGAGCATCGTGAATCAGTGAGTTGTTCAGCCGAGGGACCGAGGGAAAGTGAGATGAGCGCCCGATGTGACAAACACGGTTGAATATCTAAGACTACTGAGAACAGTTACAACGAAGCGACGGATAAGCAAAGGACACTGCTCACATGTACTGCTTACAGAAAATGTGCCTCACTAACTGAAACCACAGGGTTAATTACCGATGACATAGCGAAAATAAAACAGGAAAGATCGACCGTAAACCTTGGTCAGGATGACGAATGCCGCAGTCCTAGATGAAGGACACGAGATCAATCGCGTCAGTGAATAGGATGCATTGCTGAAACAGGGTAGTTAAAAGTTCTGTGGAAGCAATGCATCCTGCTGCATTATACTATATGTAGACCCGTCTGCACAAAGAATGCAACTTTGTCTAACTCCCATCCACTTTTTGTGTACGCCCTTTACATCGTTTTCCTTGCCGTTCCCATCGGCACGGCTGCAAGAAAGAGAGTGACCTAATGTACTGAAAATCCGTGTGCTAGGACGAGCCACTTAAAGGAAATGAAGTGGTACGATCGCCTAGAACAAAAGCAACTGTAACCACCCACAATCCACACAATGCGAAGTGAACACTTGGCTCGCACACCAATGTCGCCAAAGTGACTTACCAGATGCTCTTGCCCATTTGATGGGGCATCAGCAGATGATTCGAGGACAGCTCGGCAACATTTTAGCCAAATAACATCCACCGAGTAAAGGGAGAAACGCGGAGGAGGAGGTTCGGTTTGCAAAGAAAAAGACTGAGTGTCTGCATGACTGCATATTAAGCGTAGCCAATGAACGACGGCGACCAGCAACTGATAACTGTTACTGCATAAGGTAGACGCATCCATATCTAAACAGGGAACTGTAGAAACAAACAGCGTATAGTAAACTAAAATGTAATGTAATTAAAACGAACACATCAAATTAACAAGGCGATACCCTTAGACCGAGTAGGTAATGAGCTAAAGAAATAGCGATATAAGATTTGCTCGACATCCTCAATTAAACCATGTTAATTCATCGCAATGCTTACAATATGAAAAAGATGAACTGCAAACGATCTGTCAACGGTCACCCTTAGCCGTTTGGTTAGTTAGTGGTCTGAAAAAAGCACAAAATCAATGGATGCTACCAGGTAATGGCATCCTAAGCGTTCAGCGTAATCATGGTTTGCAGGAGTACAGATATCTCCAGTTACCACTACCAATTTAATCGGGCCCAGCAGAGCCCCAGAAACCAGCCGAGAAGCGAATCTCGAAGTGTTACATCGATAGCACAAGGTGATTCAAAGAGATTTTCTAGAGGCAAATTGTTTGAAGAGGCCAGCCGATATGCCGATGCCACTGTCCCACTATGTCGCAGAAAAGTCAATGTTTAGTGGAGAGCACCCTGTGCATTCCGTTAAACCTTAGATGAAGTGTTGATGTGCTCACCAGAAACCTTAGATATTCTCGGTTTTTGACGATGCAATCCACGAGCGGTTTAGTACTCATTTGCACATGAGCACTGCGATTCGAAGCCGAGACATATGAATTTGCAGCAAAAACCTGCATCCATAAGCAATCGAGCTGAGAGCAACGGTTGTAACAATGGTTAATGACTATTTATAGGGGACATGTTGAAATAGTTGCTGCGTGAATGTGAATTCAATCTGAGCCGAAAATCACTCTCGAGTGCATCACAGTCAGTCCGGTCACTGGGATTGTGGCTGAAGCGGATCAAAGGCTAGCATCTCCAATGGCCAGAGCCCGAGAAGTACTACCGTTATCTGTATCTGATGAGTGCAAACGAGTACGAACTGGTCGTGGTGTGGAGTGTTTCGAGTGGCAACACCTAACAATTAGCTGTCGCAGATACAGTCTCAGTGACCGAATGGATCCAGGTTGTAAACCAAACGAATCACAGTTTAGACTGAGAAGACCGTAATTCATCAAAAATAGCCCCTAAGCCAGTTTGTCACGTAATTGCATTTTCCGGTGTCATCCAGGATGACACCACAATGCACCAGTCGATTACGGGCCGATAGGATAGTTCTTATTTTAAACGTGAACCACAGAGAGCGAAGCGGACCAACAGATGAGCACTGACAAAAAGGACTCCTTTGATTGGAGACGGCAGCTGGGCTATGTAACCCAAAGTGTAATTCGAACGGAAGTGGTAACTTACTAGCTAACCTGGTCCTCTTCATTTGTTTGCGCCTGAATTGTATGTTCGCGGGCTCGGATTTAAAACGTACAGCAGGCTATCCTTCATGAGTTATGACGGCGATTTGTTCGTAAATCTTACTAGCAGACCTCGTTACTACACTGTTATAACAGGAGAACTCGCGATGTTGTATCTATTATGTAGCTATTTGAGTTAATAACCCTCGCTGCAACTTATGTGGAGGCAGTATGAGGAAAATGGAGTTGATTTTCACTTCGTAATCCTAAGATAGCAAGCGGACCATGCCATAAATACTGAAAAGATGGTAAGTAAAATCATTTTCGTCCACATTTCAGATTTTTATTAAAATCGATTTTGTAGGTTTTTATCGTGGCAACGTTGCGCACTTAACACAAGGGATAGCTATGAAAGAGAAATTAGTAAGTTCAACCATTCAATGTCTGTGCATACCAGAAACACAAGTTTCGATGATAGGTTTGAATGTAGCAGAGACTATTGCAATGCAATTAATATGGCAGATAGGTTGTTGAGTGAGACAGAACGCATGTTACTGGAAAAGGGTTTGTACTTTTCTGTCACTAAACCTCAACTAACTGCGGAAGTTATTCCTAGCGTTGAGACGACGGTGATGAAAGTACCAGTTTCTAACAGCTGAGAATATTCGCGCACAGGTAACAGGAACATCAGATTTCAGAAGCCTGAAGTTCTTGCGTCAAGAGCGAAACGTAGCCACAAAAACCGATTTGTGTTCAAAGCCTTTTGAAATCATGAGATCCCAGTCGGCTCCAAGCCTATTCGGAGAGAATGGATCACTTTCGTTCACAATATCCCCAATAATTGACAGTCCAAAGGAAAACCCGAAAATGATATGTAACCAGTCAAAGGGGTTCTATCGGTCAGCGTATTAAAGGCCCATCTGTTGGTTTTTCATTTGCGTCAGAATACATGTGTCGAAGACGCTAAACTAAAGCCATCGGCCTATTTTATCGAGAGAAGAGAAACAATATATCAGAAACAAAATGCAAATTATTTTAAGAGCAAATCATTAACCTGCTGCACAGTTATTCAGGTGATCTTTTAATATTTAACGAATGAAATGGAAATATTTAGGTGTTGCTCCTACCAACACTGGCACACCACGAGTGCCGTTTCTTCCGGATTTAAACTCATCAGTTGGAGATAACCTGAGCTGAGGTGGGAATCACAGCCTAGGGTTTACGGCTGACGTCATAAACACTATGCAGTGAGAGCCGCGAGCAACACTTGGCACAGTGGAAAGGAATTCATAGTTGAATTTGGGGTACCCGATGTGTGGTTGGGTTGCGACTCGCAACCTCTATTGAGACCACGGTTCACTTTGAGGTAAACCTCGATCATTTCGATCGTGAGGACCGTATCCGGAATGTAAATATTTGGGTGTTGCCCCTCCCAACACTGGCACACCACGAGCGCAGTTTCGTCCTGGTTTGGACTCATTAGGTAGCGATAGCCTGAGCTGGGGTGGAACTCAGAGCCTAGTAGTTCACGGCTGACGCCCTGAACACTATGCTACTGAGATCCGCGAGCAACGCTTGGCACATCGGAAAGGAATTCAAATGACTTTAAAAAGGGTTCGTACTTCTAAATGGACCATCAAACGACGGACAATGATTGTGAACCCTGGTGAGAGGAACCCGCTCGACTCAAGTGATCGCTCGATTCCGTGAAACTCCGATGAGGTAGGTGAAACATTTACATTTCCGATACTCGAAAACCCATGGTCGCGTCAGGGTCACGGCAGGTTGTTGTTCCTAATTGGGAACGAGCGACACTCAAAAACATGCTTCCATTTTACCATTTCAAAGCAGTTTTATCATGGACTGCAACAATGAGTGTTTGTTGTGAGGCCATACGACGCAGGTACTAAGGTACCGATCTTGGAAAGCTGGTTAAGACAGTTTGAGAGCGATATCCTCTGACGGCTCGACAGTAGGTTGCGTAGTTAACCCAAAATATACATGCCGGAGTGAGTCCATCTTTGGCATAGGCTTCGCAAAGTACTATTCCAGCACCACCAGTGGGTGTGTTGCAGTTTGAACCTCTACGGTGAGAGGCAGGAAGCAATGGATCAACTCACGCAACTTGGTAGGTGCATTAGCAGCGTCGTGTGGCTGCTAAAATTGTAGAAATCCGACACCTTTGATACCGGAAGGAGATTTCGCCTGGCTTTAAAGGTCACGTATGCAAGACCATAGTGAGAGAAATGTTAAAATGCTGAAACGTGTCGACTGACGCCAGCGCGTCGCAGCGATGTGATCAGGTACTAGACCGCTGTGACACTTCGGGCAATCTGTTGAAACATCAGGTAGCACTGAATGATTGCGCTAACTTGGGTACGTGCTACGGATGTCCACCGCTGCTGTTGTGTTTCGACGAGCGATGATAAGTAAGGTTCGAAGGGTACATTCGCTGGCTACTGTATCGGGTACTGTTGGCCTATCTCACATACCAAGCTGGGGTGCAAATGGTCCACCATGTAACATGAGAATCAGTAGCATACAGGCACGTCGTAGCGGTGCTTAGGTGCGATGCGACGACCACCGGGAGTACGTGGGCTAAGAACACTGAAAGGTCGACTGCACCGACGCATGCTCCGACCGGTTACCTGTGGACTACAAGCTAAGTGGATCGAAACACAAAGAGCATGGACTGCAGCCAACGCCAGTGGCGCGCTTGTTATCGTGTTCTGCTGGAATAAACTAAGGTAAACCTGAAACTGGTTTATTTGTAGGGTAACGTCAACAATGACGCAGAATGGTGATTATCATAACAATGTTGTCTCATCGATGTTACCTCGTGCTCGCACAGTAGTCAGCAATTTGTGACGACTGTTGGCAAGATGTAAGCGACTCCGTCCTTAAGGGGTGAGGTGTTTAGACTTCACATCATGTCCCCAATTGGGTCATCTCACGACAATGAGGATGCACCAATAAAGATAGCGAGGCACCAGTGGAAGTGGTGGTGACTGGTGGGAAGGAGGACGCTACGGTTACATCTGATTAAAACGGCAATCCAATAGAGTCATGTATAGAAAACACGACAGATTAGGGATACTGCCTAGCTGAGCCGAGTAAATGTAGTAGTGATATCAGTGGAGCAATCGCTGATGTGACAAGGGGAGGCATTCTGCAGTCCGCCCTAACTTAACTTGATGCGCAGGTCGATTTCCGGTAAAAGTAAAAGCAGCTGTATGGCGAGTTCTACTGGTCCTAAGATAATCTACCAAGGGGCATCGGGAGTCACATTGACCGTCCGGAAGTGAGCGCTAGTCACATCAACGGCGCATGAGCAGCTGAAATAAAACGGGCGCGCAGACAGCGACGGCAGTGACGAGGAGAATGCATCAATGTGATTTGAGGCCGCAGTAAAAATACGAACCATTGTCTAATTGCTTGAGATTCAGTCCGGCGCTTTTAAAAAAGCTGGAGAAAACATGTTCCGTCAACTCAAGTGCTTTGGCGTTTCCATCGTAGGCGTTGCCAACACTGAGTTTGTATCGATGCAGATCAGCTGAAGGTAGGGAAAGAGAGATAACAGAGAGGTGAAAATCACAGAACAGATAGTAGCTGAAGTTCACAAGACCTAAGTGAGCGCAACAATAAGCCTGGCCGTGCCAACTCAATTCGTGTGTCTCCCTTAAGAAACAGCAGTGTGGAATGAAGCATGAGAGTGTCCAAGAAGGACAAACTGTTATTCGGGTCTATAAAATGAGCAGAATAAGTTAAACCTCGCTGTGGGTTGTCTCAGTTATCTAACACGAAAATGTTCAGCAAAAGACACCGACATAGCGTAACTGTTGACCAGTTAACAAGGATGACCGCGAGGCAATTCGGCATCGTTTGGGCTGTAGCGACTACTGTCACCGCGCAACCAACATCCGAATCGCATGAGTCACAATGGAACGGATGCAAACAAAGCACAGCGGGCAACAAACAAAACCTATTTAAGACGTTGTGTGCCATAACAGGTTGGTTGACCACAACTCAGCGTTTCAAGTCAAATCGGAAGAAACGTTGGTAACTCGTGTAGAAACCATTAGCCATATCTGCGGCTAATTCTGGTCAGAGGAGAGAGAGTGGACAGGTGAAGTGCTGTGACCACAAAGCCATACCATACGATTGTTACATTCAGTGACCTTCCACTCGATTAGGATTTGAAAAGCTTACTTTCCAGGGTCTCTCCAAAATCAACCGTAAACACAAAGAGAACAATAAAGGTGGTAAGCAATAGGTGTACATATCTAGGCAATATCCAAAAATCTGTTTGCGAAAGTCAACTTATATAGCGTCTGAGCCATTGTCAAAAGTAGCACGAGTTCTTCGTCCACTTCGAGAAGTCAACTGAAGTCCACGGGTCATGACGGAATGCGTTTGTCTAGTAGCTGTAGTGACCGAAGAAGACCTGACAGAAATGCTGATCATCGCACCGATCTCTGAATGCATGGCGAATGAGAGACGCCTAAAGGGGACTGTGGACAAGGATGCTCAAGCAACAGATTAGAAGCACGCCCTCGAATGAACATTTGGCGCCAATGATAGCCTGTGGACTACCAACTGAAAAATACGCTAGAGTCAAAACATTGATGAAAGTAGTCATGGTCAGACACCTTATTTCACGTAGTAGTAGCATAGCCTATCATCCGACAGCTTTCAAGTATAGAGTCGCGTTATCAATTTTCCAAGAAAGTGGAAGCAGTCTACGAAATCATGCCAAGATAGAGGTCGCGCAGCAGTTCGAAGAACAGCTTGCAGCGGAAACGAAAACAGGGCCCAAAAGTGTTTTCTGGCGGGCAAAACCCAATATCGTACTGGAGTTTGTTTTGTTAGACAGATCATTGTTCAAGTCGTGTAGCATACAAACACGCAACGCTATTCAGCTTACAGTTCGCATATATTCAGACGTGTTTACAGCTGTCGACTGTGGTTGTAAATTCGGCATGTACTTTCTTGTTTACAGTATTTTGTTCGATCCATCAATACCCTTTACGTCGCGTGTTCTGGCATACAAATAAGTGCCAGCTAGCAGCCGGTGGGGCTCAATCTAAATCCGACCACCCTATGATCATATCATACGGTACATGTGCATTTAGCTAGTGCCATCTGCAGCTGACGGCAAGATGTTTGGTCTGCGACCGGAGTATTCCTTCGTTTCTTGTGGGCGCTAGGTCAAGAGATGCGAACCCCTGCCTGTTATCAATGTAAACAGTATGTGCTGAACGTAGTTGGAGAAACCGACGGCTATTGTTACTAGAATGGTTCTTGACACCCAAATGCTTTTCTCTCCGGTAGGAGCTCGGAGGACGACAGACAGTCTGACTGAATACTAATCTCAACTACTACGGACACAGAACCGACATTCTTAGCCAGGTAGATGTTGGGTGATGGACGGTTTCTGAGTTGCAAACGGTAAGCCTGTAAACTGAAGCAAGACACCGCGTCGTCACCCAAGGTAGCCGATTAAATCTGGTGGAGTTTCGAATTTGAATGGAGTGCATGTGGCCATCGATTAGGAACCGCTCAGAAATGACACCATAAGCACCAACATTGCTGGACTGCCAGCCAAACAACAACAAAATACATCGACATGATGCACACTTCTGTATGCGCCTCACGTTCACCTTAAGAGGTATCTATGCGAAGCCTTAGTTTGAGAAACAGTGTGACTGAAGTGTTACAATCATGAGTGAAATCATAAGCAAACGCTTGCTGGATAATTCGAGAGGCATTTTGCAATGAATAGGTCAGCAAGAAATCGAAGTATGGGTGGCGACAGAGGTCCGTGGGCGGATGATACGCTCCGGCTATTCGGTCCACGATGACTTCTTTTCGTGACTATTCATACAAAGGCTGAATACCAAGGAAGCGGGCAATGGGAAACTTTGCAGGCAAAACCCTTGAAGGATGAGATGCGCTCGTTGACTTGTTCAATGCGCATTTATCGGTACTAGTGCTCCTGTGGTGCATGATATGTTGGTTGCACTAAGAGGCGCCTATCACAGAGAATTCGCGAGCACATCCTGGCCTGGTGCTACGAAGGAGCGAATGGATCTTCAAACAACTCTATTATGTTACACCTTGATTTTGGCCACACAGCCTCTGGGGATGAGTTTAATGTTATATACTGTTAATGGGGCAGGCACCACTTTCCTAGTAGCGCGGAACAGTTGACCATGAAGCAGGCAGAAGCTTATTGGCCAACCAATGAGTGCGAGCTAATGATGACGCTTCATCTTGAACGCTGCCAATGAGAGTGGTCTACCTTGAAATCCGCCAGTGAGCGCTAGCCCATTCCCTTAGTAACTATTGATTTTTATCAGGTGCGTAATACATTTTTCGTCTGAAGCCTTTGTCTTCTAATCTGAAAAGTCGGCCAGTCAACTTGCGCGGTAGCAGCAGGTTATCCGCACAATCAGCGGAGACCACGACATATACTCACTACCTGAACGTTTCACGCAAGACTTCCGCAAGCAGCTCCTATCAACTGATGAGACTATATACATCCGCCATTTAAAGCCCGAACTGTGTGTGCAAAAGCAGTACATAGGTCCGTTAATACCTTCCTTGGGAGACGGAAGATGTTACCTAACCATTTGATTGCCATATGAGCTTCTATGTAATACCTTTGCTTACCATTTATAGCCTAATACTGAGTCATCGACTGGCTGTTCGAATAATCCAGAAACCAGTTTTCAACCTGATTTGAAGCTGATAACACCTCATCACTACCACGTGAACCTTAGGGTCCAATGGTTTATTCGAGAAAAATACTAAACCCAACACTCATTTGGTCTTGGTTTGATCACTGAATATCAGCCATTCTCTCCTTTGGACAACGACAAACAATGGCTATCGTACTTCACGTCAATGAGTGTAAAAGTAGAGCCTATAAGTTGTTGTTTGCCAAGAAATAGGTTTGATGCAAACAGAACAAGCTACAACATATCGGTAAATCCGGCATGCGGGTCTCTGACAAGCTAGAGAAATGCCCCAGTAAGAGTAGTTCGACGGATAACGGAGGCGCGCGAGTGATCGAACCAGACTTCAATCAAGCCTCATTGTTGTGAGTTTCCACAGCAGTCCAATGCAGAGATTCCAAGGCATTTGACAATAATTGGCAAGTTAACCAAATCAACTTCGCAGCAACTGATCGAGTGATTGTGGCATTACGTGGTTTGCGTGAAGCACACACGACATCCATGTGTAGGTAACATCCGTACAGCAGTTAAAGAAGTATGTGATATAGAGAAGCTTGAGGGAAGTAAACCATAGACTACACCAAGTGCTGCACTCACGGTCTCCCATCGGGGCACTGAGACTCAAATAACGACCGAGCAAGTTGGCAAGAAATGGCGATACAAACTGCAAAAAAGGAATAAATGGAGAAGGTCTGTAGTAAAACAACTTGCCTCGGTATGATGCAAGATATACAGAATGCAATTTTAGTGGTACTGTCATGAGGCACAACTCATGGAATGCACAAGGCCAGTCGCCTGCGGGAATTTACCGTTCGATACATAAGCGAAATGCATGGACAGTTGACAAAGACATGATGAAGACAGGAAAGCAAATAGAGATATCTGCAGCAACACATACGCATTGAACGCCTGTAAGTGAAACAGAATTAACATCTGATCCCAGTATATCCAGATCCTATATTCATGGGACGATGAGCGTGATGACGTTGTGCTCAAGATCAAGATATGTCAGCTCAAAAAATTCACAGCAACGTTACATATTCGGCAGAAATCAGTCAATTAATATTATGTGCAGCTGAAGTTTTCTACCTTCTAGTTGTAGCATGGTTCAGTCGGTTAAATTCCATTATGCCAACGAACAAGGATCGACGCGTGGCTAATTAGTAGCAGTGCCACCGTAAATAATTAGGACAGCCTAACAGCCTCGTCGGCATCAAAACCATAATGCCGAAATTGGCCAGAAAGTAAAAAGTTGTACTGCGGCGTAAGGGAAGCGTGCCCAAAGCCAAAGCTACTCGCAAGCAGTAAAGAAAGTTGATCTGCAGTGATAGGTAATATGGGGAAATATATCTGAATTATACCAGCGCAATGCAATGAACCTGGTGAAAGAAATGCTGATAACAAAGCTAGGGAAAGGAATAAGACTCCATAAAAAATTGAGTGGGTTAGACACCATGACGCTGTCGAACTGTAGCCTTAAGAATCACAAGCCTGCCTTGTAATCTGAGGGAGGAGATTCGAGCCTGCGTAGGGACCGGGCGACCCTCGCAGTATCCTTAACCGATGTGCGAGCGGCAGCGCGACAGCGAAGCGTCGGTACTGCGTACCAGCGTACTGTTGATGCCTTGCCAGCCTCTTAATGAACAAGCTACACCCGTTCCTATAAATGATTAAATCATCGCTTTCCCAAGTGTTGGTTATAATAAAAGCGTTTTTATAAGGAAAGTACTGAGAGTTGAGGTTGAAAAAGCAGTAGTGCAGTGAATTTGCTACAATCTTACCCGCCTGAAGCCATCATTTAGCAATTCACGGGGAATACGACATAGAAAGTGCCACCAAGAACAGAGGCGAACTTCGGCATGCTCGATGCTCATCGGAAAGACGCGAAGTAGGTCAAAAAGTTGGCACACATTGACGGCATATTCTGTGGACAGAAAACGACAAACCAGTGAAGCAGTTGTAGAAAATGAAATGCTCAGTAAGTGCGAGTGAAAGGTAAGCAGATAAAAAAGTTCATGCAGCCGATCAATATAAAGAGTTCTCACAGCATAGTAACTGCCAGAAGAGAAAATAAATGAAGACAAAATGTGGCCAAAATCAATATCTGCCTGTGCGCAATGGGAACCAGTGAGATGAAAAAGCTAAGTGAAGCGGGATTAAGACTCTCGAATATGGATAACTGGAAGAGCAAATAATTGAGGTATGCGGGGCTGAAACTAAGGTAGTGGGACACAAACGGGTCTGTATTTATGAGCAATCATGAAGTACAGATAACCTAGGTCACTAAACTATGACATTTGCATGGGTGCTGTTGTGGAAGGGCACTGAATGAGAATGGGAACCGGAACTGAGGCGGATAGTAGAGGAAACTGCATTTGAATGCAACAGCTGCTCAGTTGGAGTAACGATCCAAAAGTGGTTGAAGTTGCACATCCCAGAAGTGAACTCCAGTTCTGTCAAGCAGTTATTAATGGCCAAAATACAAATCCAGATGTGCTGGATCGAAAGCCCCTGACTACCTCTTGAACCGGTGGTGAGAGGTATTTTGCGAGAGATTGTGCTCACAGGAATCATCACTGTCAAAGGGCGCACAAAGTTTGGTGCGTACGCATTCCAATTTTGCAAGCATGCTCCAAACTCAAAAGAAACAGGATTCGCAGTGCAGCGAGAGAAGCGATGTCCACAGTATTTCGCATAGACTTTTCAGGGAAGGGAAAATATCCAACAGTGGAACGCATCAATGTTCCGGTATCACTGCGACCAAAAATGGTGCATAACCTCAAGACCATTTCTCTACCGACTTGGTAGATCGGCAGTCAAACTTATACGGTTCTCTGTCATGTATGGTAAAGCATGTTAGGAGGTGGAAGCAGTCGCGAGGTGCTGGCACAACAGATACTCAACTAGATAAGTGATCAACCACTCTGTAGCGCTCTTCTTCAAAAACACAAAGTAACGGTAACAAACTGGTCCCAAACTTACGCTCAGGAGATATATCGATGCACTGCCAGATGTCGAGAAGTTTGACCAGTAGGTTCAGAGTGTAGACCGCTGGGTTCAGAATTAATGCGCTTTGGTTATCTTTGCGTTCGACGCTTGACGAATTAATATCCACAGCAGGCAACCGAACAGCCTGCATCAGCACCTTAAGAATTTGTCCGAACGTTTGACTATCCGTGGTCATCTGCAGGTGATAAACCAGACACGAAATATCGAAAGTTACACAAAGCAGCTCAATTTCGAGAAAAAACGAGGAGATTGGAACAAATGTAGGAAAATAACCGTTATTGCCGAGTAGCAGAATCAGAAAACCCGTCCCAAAGCAGGTAGAGATGAACAAAACCAGGTTAGATGAAAATGTAAACACAAAAAAGTGGATGTCAGGTGGAAGAGCAATGAGACCACATCAGACTGTGTGTAGTATATGAGGGTGTGGTAAAATTTGTCAAAAAGATGAGATCGCGGGTGGCTGAACAACCAGAACAAGGTCACCAGAGGAGAATAGCAGAGCTAATTATGATAATCTTAATTGATAACAAACAGATGCAATGTTTGTCTTTCAGAAGTTTCAATGATGCGTGAAGGTACACTCCAATAGAAAAATATGGACGCACTAATTTCGAGTAATTTGTTTAGTGTTTCCATAATCCATAACAATTAAGAAGCGGGTGAGGGAACAGAAATAGTCGCAAGACAGCCAGGCAGTTTGTAGAATGCGTGACTGCATATCGTTGAAGTGTGCTTCACAAACTGTGAATGCATACGCGGAAAGCAAAGAAGTAAAGATGGAATCTCATTTGGAATGGGTAACATCATGTGGTCGAACTGCGGCAGACAGCACCAATCAGGGTCGGTACTCAAACTAGAGTCAGTGAAGTGTTTAATACGCCCGTGTGCGCGCAGTTCCAGCATTGCGGACACATACTACGAGAGCATCAGTGGGAAAAAATAAAACGTGACGAGGAAAACAAAAGGAATTCATTTTCTCTCAACTTTCGCAACTGAGAGACCATTTTCGCAGACTAACAAACGAGACAGATAGGGCAATATGGAAATGCGACACGATAGCGTACGGGGAAAATAACACTTTAAATTTCGACCGTGTGGGAAAAATATACGACGTAATGGCTAGAGCAGTGTGTAAGGGTTGTGAGAAACCATTTAGAGTTTTAGACAAAAAGTTGTATTATACATCAAAGTGCTTGCTAACAATAAAATCAACCAGCGATCCTGTCTTTAATCCAGTACATCAGGAAATAAATTTTAGTGAGCACACAACAGGAATAAATCATTTGGAAATCGGCCGGGGAAAATAACAGCGGAGCAATAACCAATGGGGGAGAAATTATGCATTTACAAACCTTAAAATTAATACACCGGGTACAAAGGATGAAAGCGTAAAAGAGGTGTCCCCTGACTTATCTAAATTCTCAAGGATATGTATCGGCCAGGGTAAATTAAAAGCTAAGAAGACATCGAGACAATTTATGTTGGATGAAAGAGGGATGCTTAGGTCACTCACGACCGAAGGAGGTGAGGTATTTAATGGGAAAGGCAGCCAGTCGAGGAAAGGAAAAGTGAGTGATGCCAAAACACTTGAAACGTTTAAAAGAGAGAGACAGGAAGCTTGACAAAGTAAAAAGTTCGTCAAGTCAAGACAAGATTTACACACCCGTGTGGGAGCATTTTCAGCAGTGGTTGGTTTCGAAGATTACTCATCTACGGTCTCAATTCGGCCGTGGTCGTAATGATTACACGCTTGCCGGTTCGAATCGCGTAGATGTATGGAAAATCGCACTTCACCCAGCCCATGTGAGACCGGTGCTGGTCGCGTGGCAGCGAAGCGTCGGTACAGTGGTGTGCCGGAGTATTGCATATGCCTTTCCTCCTTCACTTGCTACATTCTACGACAACGTCATTAGCGTATTTACGCCAGTTGAAACTTGATAGTATGAGAAAACATACGTGCTTGTAAAACATTACAATTACTTGGGATGGAGGGGCAGATCTTCTACCATACATCTGTGTGATGTGATGACGCATTACGTGAGATATGTAAGGAGGAATGCTATCTTTAAGAAAGTCTTAGCAATAACGATCTGCCAATGATATTAGAAGGACCGACGAACAAGAGCCGTAGGGGGGTATTGTATTTTATCCAAAAAAGATGTAACAGAGTGCAGTGAATGGGAAACAGTTTCTAATGTTTGATATCACTTGTGTGATTGCACACGAAAATGCGGGGAATCGATAGTTTTGAAGTAACGTCGACAGTATGGAAATGCACCCTATTTGCCGATAGTTCTGTGACTCATTTGTAGAGATTGATGTTAATCTAGCTGCTTCTCTGACCAAGGGGATGGTACCAGCCGGTAAACATCGATTGAAAAACTTTGGCAGAGGTGGATGTTTTGCATCAGCACACTCAGAGCGATTGGTGACAGAATCAGGGCCACTAGCCCCGTTTTCATTCAGTCTTGTGAGTTCCTTGTATACACTGATATGGTTAGATATGGTGGGAAAATCGGTGATGAGGAATTAAAGTAGGAACATTGTGTTCGATGATGAGGAGTGTAAATCTGCGTTGAACTTGTCAACATCCACAGCACCGAGTGGGCAAATGAATTTGTTGCTGGAACGTTGCGTAAAAAGCTTCCACAGATTACGTCAAAGAGGGTTTCCTAAAACGACTTCAGTGTATAAGCAGTTTAGCTTACGTATCTGGGCTTTAATATTCACGACTAGATATGGGCAGTTAGCTTGTAGGTACAAGCCTGCGCTCCTTCGTACACAGTTGCATGGGTAGTGGAGATAAAAATCTATCATCAACATCATCCCCATCAACAGTAGAAGTACATAAGTCATTTGAACTGGTGCTTCGCTGTCACACAACCATAACGACCTACGGAACGAAGAATAATAAGAGGGACAAATAGGGGGAATTAGCGGAAAACCTTAATGCCCTACTAACGTTCAGGGTCAAGGCGCCTACACCCGGTGTAGACAACCTACCATCAAAAACAGCTGACTATCGTGCAAAGCTAAGACGGCATCGGCGAGACAGCTTCCTTGCGGCTTTAACTGCCACGCGTCATAATCAGCCATTACCCGCAGATAAATCAGCAGCAAACACGTTTCCAACCGGCAATCCGACTAGGAGACGGCAGCACACACGCCACTGGTGTCGGTTGCGAGCCATCTCCTGTAAAATATTAAACCAAGCACAAGGCGAGTCATGTGGACTCCAGGCCAGAAGGCGAGACGGACCGACAGCACCCAGTTTAGTCATTAGTGACTTCATTTTCCGTCGCCAAGTCAAGTTATGCCCACCTCGAGTCTTGCGCCACCTTATATCTGGCAGACAAAATAAGGCTCTTCTCGGAAAGCGGTGACCTGGCATAAGTAGTACGTGCCCAAGCCAACGCATTTTATTCGGTGATATCTGTTGCTTGTTTATCACTGCCTAGTACTCGCCTACGCATATCACTGTTGCGAACACGCTGATGTCATCCGACACCAGGAGTGCTCCGCAAACAACGATGATCAAAGACTTGAAGGCGCCTCAGATCTTCAGACCGAAGGGGCCAAGTTTCAATCCCATAGAGGAAAACCCTCCCTGTCGGCGTGTAAACACGGCCTTTCAAACGGATGGAAACCCCTTTTGACGTCAAAGATGTCGCAGATTCAAGGCAGTTCTGACTTTCGCAATATGAGAACCAACTTCCGTGCTTATGCGCTCATCCTTGCTGATACAGCTAAAAAGATAAGTGAATTCATCAACTACCTCGACTTCCTCGCTATCAAGAGTCAAAAAGTAATCAACTGGCTGGTGGTTGTGCACCAGTGATTTGCACTTTGAGGGAGCAAAGTGCATCCCAGCTAATGGAACCAGACAAGAAAGACTATTCAAGACTGGCTGAGTAGCCCCAACATCATTGAATAGCAAGAGCCTATCGTCGGCATAATCAAGATCAACCAGTTTTTCACCTCGGAGGACCTCAACGTCAGCATCGTGAAGGAAGAGTCCATGATGGGGTCCACGACGAAGTTGAACGAAAACGAGGAAATCGGACAACTCTGACGAACGCCACTTGTGGTCGGAAAGCTATCCGACAGGTCACCGTGGATTCGGACGCAGCCTGTAGTGATCGAGCATAGAGCACGAAGGATGTTCACATATTTCGTGGGAACACCTTTCCGCGCAAATATTTCGAACAGAATCAATCGATCGACTGAATCCAACGCACTCTTGAAATCGAGGAACACAGCTATTGTCGGTCTGCGTGGCGCTGCTCTAGCAGCTGCCGCAGAGTGAATATATGGTCTAAACAGCCACGTCCAGGGCAAAAACCTGCCTGCTCTTCCCTAATCCGTGATTCCCGTTGCACAGTGAGGCGACGAACGAGAATTGAGGCCAGTACTTTTGTCACAACTGGCATTAGGCTAATACACCTGTGGTTAGAAAAGTCTGCGGGACTGTTTTTCTTGTATATTATCACTATGATCGATGCACTAGCTAATTGGGATAGTCTCCTCCTTGCAGACATGTTCGAAAAGGTTATTGATTGCAGAGGACTTGCTCAACTTGTGCGGGTACGTGGGAATCCGGGCCGACAGCACGGAAACGACTGAGAGCAGTGATCGCGTTTCGGACCTCAGCCTCCGATGGAGCCTCCAAAGTAACCGTCTATGGCTCATCCTGCATCACCTGAGCAGGAAGAGGTCCGGAAGCAACGGGCTAACTGAACTGATTGTGAAAGGGTTCCGCCCAACAGGCTCCTTATTTTGATTTCGTATACCTTCGCTGCCGATAATAGTCTCACTGACGCCTGGTTTCTTGGGATCAATGGTGGGGATCAGCTGGAAGAGTGTGCGATAGTTGCCTACAGCTCCTGCCTCTTCCATTCATTGAGCACTATTGGTCCACCAGGCTTCTTTGTCAACGCGCAAGCTCCGCTTTACTTAGCGTCTAATAGTCCGTCTGATCACATTGTGCTCAGTACCAGGCGCGAGGTTCCTTCTGGATTCAAAGGTGCTCACTGACCTCTCGAAAATCCAGCGACTGGTGCGGTGACGGTTGTTAGTACGACAGGCAGATGCTCCTGCGTCGTGCATGGCTGCCAAAAAACTATTCCACTGAAGCTCAGTATCATCATTAGGACAAGAGAGCGAAAGCTCGGTACG